TCTTTAATCCCATTTCAATTCAACGAAAGTTCAATCGTTTTCATTGTCCGTGCATTCGGTTTTGAGAAACAGACGGCCAATTACGTTACCTGTGCATTCATTTACGCGAGCATACCTTTTCGCGCAGAGTTCTGGAATACAATTTCGTGAATGTGCAATATAAAGTGCGTTTTTCTCATTCAAACTTAGCAGATTGCATCACATAACATGAAACTAAAAGTGAAATAAAATGACTTATTTTTGAAATCGCCCTCTAAAAGCGAAAAGGAAGTCTTGTATTAAACGAATCTGAATGAGCATAAACGAAATGTGCTTAATTGATTGAATGGAAATGAAATCGAATGCTCTGATAGCGAAAATGCATGAAACGCGTGTTCAGAGCGATTCTCAAATTCAGATGAAAATGAATGACCGATTTTCGGAAGTGAATGAACATTTCAGGAAATTGGCTGGGAAAATCTATATATTCCATGAACAGAGCCCCCTAACGTCCTCTGGTGTGTCCAGCCTCCCCCCTTTCGCCCCCGAATTTCCACAAGTGGAGGATTTGGGGTCATATCCACCCCCAATCTTCGACACGGATGTACCCCATGGCCCACGGATGACCAAACACATACTGAATTTACATGTTAACTATAAACTTCATCCCCCCCCCCAAAAAAAAAGGAGAAAATGCAACTGACTTCCCTTTTTGACTCCCTGCAATTACAATGAAAATCACGAAAACACAAATTCAATGGAAAGCCTTGTCCCGAGATATAGGCCTAATTAAAGAGACAATTTTATTTACATTGATTTCGGCAATAATATCAAGTTTGACTGACACAACTGTAACATAATTATTATTTTATATTTTAAAACAACAGAAAAAAACTTAAAACGAACACGTGTGAATACATTTAATCACAATCGATATAGAGAAAAGTGCAGCACTCAGAGCAAACTGCAACACTTGGTATATTAAATAATTTTCCCTCAGAAGGACCATCAAAATACATGTTTCAGCGCATAGCCAGCACTTCTCCAATTCATTAATTGTTTAGTCTTTGCAATTTGCAATCTTTCTCCATTTTTACACAAATTTTCATAATTCAAAAAGTACATTTGCAATGTGTGTTCCTATCATAAAAAAAATCGGTCTTGTGTTTCCATCACACATCTCTAAAAAATACATCCTACTATTCAGGCCACCTTGGTAACATGCACTGTGTTTATATATAAACATGTATGTTTACCATAAACGCCTGCGTGTTACTAAGGTAGTGTGAATAGGCCTAAGCCTACACAAGTTCAACCCTGCACGCCATCCTTTTTTTTCTCGTAACCATAACTGTAAACCATTTCACAAATTGTTTGTCTGAATCTTTAATAGCCTATACAACATTTATTTTTAGCTGCACCACCGGGATCGTGAATCAAGCGCTGTCAAACCAAAAGGACATAAGTCATTCGCATTATTGTTAAACCTAAACTGCGAGGGGAATTTCAGGCGACGACTTTCTTTGATCTCATTTGCAGTTGGTTAGGCCACAAAAAAGTCTCCGGTTTATGGTATGCGCGTGCGTCGCTGTAGCCATGCGCGTCGGCAAAATGAAAAAGGTTTTTTTTTCAATGAAAGATGATGTCTCAAAACCGCCAAACTCACTGGTTTGACTGGAATCCTGCTGCTGCACATTTTTAACTTAAAGAATAAGCTTTATGTGGCCTCTCTGAACTCCCAATCCCATATAGGCCTATTTGTACTCAGTTTAGTCGAGCACCATTTGAAGTCATCAGCCGACATTTGAAGCAAAAAAGTCGGGTAAAAAAAAAAAAAAAGCCGCGTCACCGCAAGCTCCATACCAGAAACCGGAGACTTTTTGGGGGCCTTACATGCGATTGTATTGATGAAAGGATTTGCTAACAATTGAAAAACTACCACTTTCTTGTCACTTCCAACGAAAACAAGTTTTACGATCTTGTATGTTTTGTTGCAACACATAATGTGCAAGAGAACAAGATGAGCTGAATTTCCACTGCATGTTTCCTTTAAAGTCTTGTTGGCATTTTAAAGTTTGTCTGTAATATGATTCTCACTAAACTCAATAGCTTCCAATGACATTCAAGGACAGCTATAAAAATGGGCTACGTTTGTAACACATGCATAACTTCTGAAAGCATTGGTAAATTTTTGTGATTCATTTTTTTTCTTTAAATGAGTGGAAGAACATGCTCTTAAAGACATGCTTGATTGGTGTTGATTGTTTGCTTAGAAAACAAAGACAAGTTAATCTTTAATCGACTCTACGAGCAAGAACTCTGAAATGGGATAAAATGTCTTGGCATGTGTTTTTTTAATGTTCAACCAATTAGTTGCGGGTGCCCGCAACATGCGGGTCCACTAAGGGAACTCTAAGGATGCTTCGTGAATACCACTTAACGCAAGTCTTACGTGCCCTTAACATCCACTTACGGGTCCCCGCAACGCAAACATTTACGGGTGCTTTGTGAATAAGCACCCAGAGCTTTAGTACAAAATGCACTCTGTGGACTTGCCTTAATTGGTTAGACGCTTTAGTGAGTGTCAGTTCGTGAAAACAAAAATTGACGTGTTTTGGGAGAGTGCGCGCACACACTGCGCATGCGTGCGCGCACTCTCCAAAAACACGTCAATTTTCGTTTTCACGAACTGACACTCCGTAACGCTATTGCATGCGCGTACTCTCCGAAAACACGTACATTTTTGTTTTCACGAACTGACACCCTGTGCAGTGTCACTTCGTGGTAACATAAAACACCAGAATTGACCAATTTGTTGAAAATTCATTAGTAAAATTTGCTTATTTTAAATGATTTCAGCAATTTTAACTTCGTCATGTTAAACTTCACGATACAAACTGCTAATATCGGCAAAAAAAGAAAATTTGAGTTTTAATTTTTTTTGTACACATGTGATGCAGAGGGTGTCGGCTCGTGGTGTCGGTGACGAAATACTGAATAAATATTGGGGAATGTAAATCGTGATTTGGCCGGCGTAGGCAATTTTGGACCAATTTACTGGCCTGCACCTACAATCCTGGCCAAATCTCGCTGGGCCCCCACCATCCCCCCCGGCCCCCGATCAATGTTGTCTCTCGCGGTGTGTGCTCCATCAGCTGGGAACAACATTGACCGGAGGAGCGGGCGGTGGGTGACCGTGGCAGGCTCAAGAAGTGTCCCAACTTTTTTGGCCGGGATTGTAGGTCCCGCTGGCCTCGAATTCGAATAAAAGCGGGACACCCCTAATTCAAAAGTTGAAATTAATTAATTGCTTACTTATCGTTGGCTAATTTTTTTCGTGTGATATCTCATTGGAAAGCTCATTACTAATGTACTTTTTGCTAGAAAATTATCAACTCATTTTGAAAATCTATTTTTCGGGGTGCCACACCCAAAAAGCACGTATACACCAACTTTAAAGATAACAACGACATTTATCACAGACATTGAATGAAGAAAAGAACCGGTTGAAGTGTCAAAGCATTGAACATTTGAAACTAAACCGAACAAAACTATTATTTTTTTTACTAAATAAACCTTGGAAATGCAAGTTTTATACTTTTTCGCGGAAAAATCCACAACCACCAAACGTGACCATCTTACGGCCCACTTTAAAAACGGTGTGTAAGCAATGAAGATCGTTACAATACCTAAGTTTCATTTTTATAAATGCAAATACGATGCAACAAAACCAGAAGTTAAGCAAACGGATTTGAGAAATGTTGGCAGTGGGTGTTCTCTCCTCTACAATGAAAACTTAAACTTATTTTAATGTGTGTAAAGCCTATCAGGCTTATCAAAGATCGAATCCAAATGTATTTACACCAAGCATTCGATAGGCCAACGGGGTTGTGCGAATGAGGAAAAAGAATTCTTCAACAGGTCGACCAAAAAAAATGCAACCCTGAAACGTGTGCCTTTTTGTGATGTGTGATGTTTTGAGTATCAGATTAAAGCTGGGAATTTTGTATTTCAAATACAAAAAAAAAAAATTCATGAAAACAGCACTTTTGGGTTGCTGAGAAAAAAATGTCAATTATATAAAAGAAGTCAGTTTTCATCCATTCCAAAAGTGCTTCAAACAGTGAAACATGGTACTGTAAGCCCACTGTGCAATTGTCTTTCATTGTGCAGTTTCTTTAATATTTCGACATATTTATGATGCTGAAAAGGTTTAAAATACGACTAAAAAGGATAAGCTACCTGTTCAGGTGGAAAATAAAAGGTATTTTCATCAAATTAATATGTACTCTTGTCATTATGTGCCGTGTTGTTTGTACGGATTAGGACACAATGCGCTACATGGATTTCATGCGCATAGCTATAGGTACAGTGTAAATCTCTTAACTGTGGTAATGCCATTGGAACGGATGAAAAAAAATCACTTCTTTGACATAATTGGCATTTTCTCAGCAACCCACTGTGCTGCTTTCATGATTTTTTTTGTTACCGTTTGTGAAAGAAAAAGCTCTCAGCTTTAATCTGATATTGTTACGATCCAAAAAATCTCCAAACTATCTGTGAATGGAAATTATTCAAAAAGCCCAAATTTTAAAAGAAATCAAATCTGCCCGTATACTATGTGTATAGGTCTGTCCTATTTTACAAAAATTACTGTTCTCTAAGTCTCTAGAAACTTCTTACAATTACGTGAGTTTCCAAATATAATCTTACACAGCTCTAGAAACTCTGGAGAAAGTTCGATTCATTGATAACGTCCGCCTATTGGGGTCAAACGCGGCACACACTCGGAAGCGAACAATGGATGTGTTTGAGGTGATGTAGAAATTGGGTGAGAAATGTTACGTCTATACGTTTTGGTATTAGTGGTGTATCCAAACAAAACAAAATCACCGATCACGTTTTTGAAAAAAGGCAAATGTTTCAGGGTTGCATTTTTCTCTCGGGGGGGGGGGGGGGGGGCGCATAACCCTGTATGTCGGAACCGTAGGGAACATGGAACATTGAACAAATTAACTTACCGTCTCTTTCTGCGAAACTCAAGGCACATCCAACGACCATCAGGAGAACCAGGCACATGTAAAACTTCATTCTGGCTAATCTAGAAAGTGAAGGAAACAAGGACAGAGAGTATAAGAGACGCGTGGTTGTATCGCCATGTTAAGTGCACAAGTGTGAACCTTTAGCATACAATTGGGTCATTCGTTTCCCCCTCTCCTCCCCAAGATTAATATGGCTGTTGTGCAGTTTGTACTTATCATGAAATCGCTCAGATGCAGTAAAAGTATGCACAACGCGTTTATCACGGTCGTTTTATACAGGTAAGTCATATTAACGTACACCCGTGATAGATTATCGTTAATTATGAACCAATTTAATAACCAGGACATTTTTTACCCAAGCTACTGACATTATCATATCTTGCCACGTTAATCTAAAGCTAGCGTGTGGCTGGAAATACCCCTGCATATTTTTTTGCAAATCGTTCACTACAGCCCCCATAAATATATCGTATAGAATTAATGAAAGGGCTCATGCTGAAGCGAGAGACTGACACACAATGGGGGTATTTCCAAGTAGCTGCAGGTACTGGTACAAAGTTGTACCTAATTCAAATGAGGACAATGGGAACCTAGACTTTTGGCGCTGCATTGAGTGTGCCTGTTGAACCTTTTTCAAACAAAATGTCTGCGGCTTTGGTTTACGTGCGCCTGGAAATCCACATGCACATTGTGTGCAAATCGCTCCGCTCATGTTGCAGCGTACGCTTAGGGTATACGCGGGGGTATTTCCAAGTAGTCAGGCACTGGTAGAGAGTGGGACCTAATTCGAATGAGGACAATATGGGAACCTAGACATTGGCGCAGCTATTACATGTGCCTAGAAATCCCCTGCTTTTGTCTGGAACCCGATGTTCAAACAAATATCCGCGGCTGTGGTTACAATGGAGCTATAGAAACAACCTGGCCCAGTCATTGTACATTTCCGAGTAACCAGGTACTGGAAATACCCCTGCACATTTTATGCAAATCGCTCGCTACAGCCCCATACATATATCATATAGGAATGAACGCGCTCATGTTGCAGCGCACGCTTCATACATGTAGGTTACTATGGGGTATTTCCAAGTAGACAGGAATGGTACAAAGTGGGACCTTCTTCGAATGAAGACAGTTATGGGAATCTAGACATTGGCGCAGCTATTGGGCCGTGTACCTGGAAATCCCCTGTTTTTGTATCGAGCCTGCGCAGACAAAACTTCAGCGTCTCTAATTATACATATCGAGGTATGGAAACATGCCCCAGACACTACAATTGAAACGGCGATAACATGTCAGAGACTCGATTTAATTTTAACAGCAATGTGACTCAACTTCCCTCGACTTGACACTTGTACCCTCATGGGTCAACTTATGGTGAATAACTTATTAAGATCAATGCATATTTGCGAAACTCAAGGCACATCCAACGACCATCAGGAGAACCAGGCACATGTAAAACTTCATTCTGGCTAATCTAGAAAGTGAAGGAAACAAGGACAGAGAGTATAAGAGACGCGTGGTTGTATCGCCATGTTAAGTGCACAAGTGTGAACCTTTAGCATACAATTGGGTCATTCGTTTCCCCCTCTCCTCCCCAAGATTAATATGGCTGTTGTGCAGTTTGTACTTATCATGAAATCGCTCAGATGCATTAAAAGTATGCACAACGCGTTTATCACGGTCGTTTTATACAGGTAAGTCATATTAACGTACACCCGTGATAGATTATCGTTAATTATGAACCAATTTAATAACCAGGACATTTTTTACCCAAGCTACTGACATTATCATATCTTGCCACGTTAATCTAAAGCTAGCGTGTGGCTGGAAATACCCCTGCATATTTTTTTGCAAATCGTTCACTACAGCCCCCATAAATATATCGTATAGAATTAATGAAAGGGCTCGTGCTGAAGCGAGAGACTGACACACAATGGGGGTATTTCCAAGTAGCTGCAGGTACTGGTACAAAGTTGTACCTAATTCAAATGAGGACAATGGGAACCTAGACTTTTGGCGCTGCATTGAGTGTGCCTGTTGAACCTTTTCAAACAAAATGTCTGCGGCTTTGGTTTACGTGCGCCTGGAAATCCACATGCACATTGTGTGCAAATCGCTCCGCTCATGTTGCAGCGTACGCTTAGGGTATACGCGGGGGTATTTCCAAGTAGTCAGGCACTGGTACAGAGTGGGACCTAATTCGAATGAGGACAATATGGGAACCTAGACATTGGCGCAGCTATTACATGTGCCTAGAAATCCCCTGCTTTTGTCTGGAACCCGATGTTCAAACAAATATCCGCGGCTGTGGTTACAATGGAGCTATAGAAACAACCTGGCCCAGTCATTGTACATTTCCGAGTAACCAGGTACTGGAAATACCCCTGCACATTTTATGCAAATCGCTCGCTACAGCCCCATACATATATCATATAGGAATGAACGCGCTCATGTTGCAGCGCACGCTTCATACATGTAGGTTACTATGGGGTATTTCCAAGTAGACAGGAATGGTACAAAGTGGGACCTTCTTCGAATGAAGACAGTTATGGGAATCTAGACATTGGCGCAGCTATTGGGCCGTGTACCTGGAAATCCCCTGTTTTTGTATCGAGCCTGCGCAGACAAAACTTCAGCGTCTCTAATTATACATATCGAGGTATGGAAACATGCCCCAGACACTACAATTGAAACGGCGATAACATGTCAGAGACTCGATTTAATTTTAACAGCAATGTGACTCAACTTCCCTCGACTTGACACTTGTACCCTCATGGGTCAACTTATGGTGAATAACTTATTAAGATCAATGCATATTTGCGAAACTCAAGGCACATCCAACGACCATCAGGAGAACCAGGCACATGTAAAACTTCATTCTGGCTAATCTAGAAAGTGAAGGAAACAAGGACAGAGAGTATAAGAGACGCGTGGTTGTATCGCCATGTTAAGTGCACAAGTGTGAACCTTTAGCATACAATTGGGTCATTCGTTTCCCCCTCTCCTCCCCAAGATTAATATGGCTGTTGTGCAGTTTGTACTTATCATGAAATCGCTCAGATGCAGTAAAAGTATGCACAACGCGTATATCACGGTCGTTTTATACAGGTAAGTCATATTAACGTACACCCGTGATAGATTATCGTTACTTATGAACCAATTTAATAACCAGGACATTTTTTACCCAAGCTACTGACATTATCATATCTTGCCACGTTAATCTAAAGCTAGCGTGTGGCTGGAAATACCCCTGCATATTTTTTTGCAAATCGTTCACTACAGCCCCCATAAATATATCGTATAGAATTAATGAAAGGGCTCGTGCTGAAGCGAGAGACTGACACACAATGGGGGTATTTCCAAGTAGCTGCAGGTACTGGTACAAAGTTGTACCTAATTCAAATGAGGACAATGGGAACCTAGACTTTTGGCGCTGCATTGAATGTGCCTGTTGAACCTTTTCAAACAAAATGTCTGCGGCTTTGGTTTACGTGCGCCTGGAAATCCACATGCACATTGTGTGCAAATCGCTCCGCTCATGTTGCAGCGTACGCTTAGGGTATACGTGGGGGTATTTCCAAGTAGTCAGGCACTGGTACAGAGTGGGACCTAATTCGAATGAGGACAATATGGGAACCTAGACATTGGCGCAGCTATTACATGTGCCTAGAAATCCCCTGCTTTTGTCTGGAACCCGATGTTCAAACAAATATCCGCGGCTGTGGTTACAATGGAGCTATAGAAACAACCTGGCCCAGTCATTGTACATTTCCGAGTAACCAGGTACTGGAAATACCCCTGCACATTTTATGCAAATCGCTCGCTACAGCCCCATACATATATCATATAGGAATGAACGCGCTCATGTTGCAGCGCACGCTTCATACATGTAGGTTACTATGGGGTATTTCCAAGTAGACAGGAATGGTACAAAGTGGGACCTTCTTCGAATGAAGACAGTTATGGGAATCTAGACATTGGCGCAGCTATTGGGCCGTGTACCTGGAAATCCCCTGTTTTTGTCTCGAGCCTGCGCTGACAAAACTTCAGCGTCTCTAATTATACATATCGAGGTATGGAAACATGCCCCAGACACTACAATTGAAACGGCGATAACATGTCAGAGACTCGATTTAATTTTAACAGCAATGTGACTCAACTTCCCTCGACTCGACACTTGTACCCTCATGGGTCAACTTATGGTGAATAACTTATTAAGATCAATGCATATTTGTTTATATGTACAATATTATATTGTTGTCTGTAAATAACAGTTAAAAAAAATACGACATTATGGTTGTTCATAATGTGTCAATGACACCGTTTGTTTACAGGTATATTTGGAAATTTCTCTGAAATTGTTACATAGTTTTATTAGGGTCACTGTGCCATGTAGTATGTACATGTATACTTAAGAACTTAAAGATCATTAATACTGAGGTTTGGCAATACAACTTCAAGTTGATACCTGGGAAAAAGGTAAATTCGTGCAACTTTAGGGTAAAATTGTATCCATTTTGGATCTTTCATAAGGCCAAAAAAAATTAATTCTGCTTCCGATTACATGATATTTAAAAATATGGTAGGTAGGTAGGGAAACTTTTGTAGGCCGATTTGTTGGTGTACGATCATATGGAGGTGTTTCCCCGGGTATCAACTTCAAGTCATGGGCGTCGCGAGGGGGGGGGGTAAGGGGGGCACTTGCCCCCCCCCCCCCCTGGAAAAGCAAAAAAAAAAAAAAAAAAAAAAAAAAAAGAAAAAAAAAAAAAAGAAAAAAGAAAAAGAGGCGCGAAGACAAAGTGGTGTAAATTTAATGAGTGGGGGGGGGGCAAAATGTCCCTGCACCCTCTAAAACTGAAATCGAGAATGTGTTGAGAAGTACAAGCATTTTTTGGCAAACAAAATTTTTGCCCACCTCTAGAAAAAATCCTGGCGACGCCCATGCTTCAAGTTGATACCTGGGGAAAAGGTAAATTCGTGCAACTTTAGGGTAAAATTGTATCCAATTCGGATCTTTCATAAGGCCCCCCAAAAAGTTATGCTTCCGATTACATGGTATTTAAAAATAGGGTAGGTAGGTAGGGAAATTTTTGTTTGCCGATTTTTTAGTGTACGATCATATGGAGGTGTCTGCGTGTAGTCAAGGGTAAAAGGTGGAAATTGATGGTTTGGGTGGTTTTTTTTTCTCATTTTCCTATACAAAAAAATTGGGCAGGGGTTGTCAGCACAATAGGGTATAGGTAGGGAAACCGTAAAAAGATCTATTATGTTTTTTGGCCTAATAGTCATATTTATCAATTCTAGATGCTTTAGAAATATTGCTTTTGTAAGTATAGCATCCCGAAAATGTACTTGCATAAAAAAGTAACACTTACGATTTATGCAATTAGGCACCGTTCCCAAAAGACTTTCAGGTGTCCCTCCTTTATTTTCTAGGGCTTGACGAATAATCTGACAAGTTCGGTGCTTTGAACCACACGGTCTAGGCACGTGACTATTATTGTTATGTTCACATACAATTGAATTACACCATACACACAGACATGTTTACGTTACATACCCAGAGTGGACATAAAACCCGTTTGAAAAAAAACCTAGGGCCTACAATGTCCGAGGATTTGGGCATGTGGTGTGATGTGCTGCATACATCGTACTAGATGTGTACATGTTTATCCACATCCACGACGGTTCTCATCAAAGCCGGTTTGGCAAGAAATATATCGCATACTACATGTACACAGTATACTGGGCACGTGAGTGCAATAGCCGAGGCTTAACGTTTCGTGTGCGTTGGTAGAGGGGAACTGGTATTTAACAAGTTGTCATTCAAACAAACATGCCCAACCGATCCTTGTACTTTTCATGTGAGGGCAATTCAACATTTTCTTGACTTATGTTAAAACTAGAAAAACGGCAAAGTGTCTGAGCACGCTGCTGCCATAACTTTTGTTGTAAAATAAAACTAATTTCATTAACAGTGCTGAGGTATGTAGACAATTATATCTAGACAATCTTACTTACGCGATCAGGCGTCGACGATAATGGTTGGCTAATGTTCTCCGGTTAACAGTCAGCTGTTGCACCGCCACACATCAAGGCCTCGATGTTACGATGAATTTGATCCAGATAGTGTGTGATCATACACCTAACGTGTTGACTGTGTTGACAGAGTTGTTGCGTGCGGCTAAATCCCCCCCGCACATTTTATGCAAATCGCTATACATCCCCATAAATAGATCGTATAGAAATAGCAAAACGGATATACATGTAGGTTGGTTACCGTATGGGGTATTTCCAAGCAGTGGTTTCGTGCCGTGTGCAAATTGCCATGCTAACCGACTTATATCTCACGATTGCGGACGTTATATGAATATCTCGCCTTTTTATAGCAGCAGTCGGGATTCTAGGCAGCCAATCAGCATTAGTGGGTTGCCGCCAAAATGCCAGGCCAATCCGTAGGCAGGAATACGTATTGATTGATGTGTGTGTCATTTTATGTCGCGGCTTCAAAAGACAAACATGAAAGTTTAGTTTGAAAATAATTTTCCCTCCTCCTCCCCTACAATCCTTCCTTTGTAATGTTGTGCAACTGGTTCGGTTGAGAAAGAGGTTGCGTTTTTTTGTGCCAAATAAGAAGTCGATCACCCAATCTTGTTTGGATATGGAATTAGCTAACTTCAATAGGATGGGACATTTCGCTTGTACATATACCTTTAAAGTTTCATGTGCTAGATGTAATTTTGTAATGTAACAATATAGCGCCGTGACGGCCCATTCCCTACCATACCTGGGAGTTTATCCTTATTGTAAACATAAATGTGTAACAAATAGCCCGTGACATCCCACACGGATTATACCGGCCGCATATTCCAGCGGTTGGAACAATTGATTGTAATTTCAGAGATGAAACTTTTCCGATTTTAATCGGAAATCCGACTTTTTGAATTTTCCAACGAAATTTCCGATTTTCTTACAGTGTGTCCCACAAAATTTGATTTTGTAACGATTTTTTTCGCAAAATGTCATTTTATTTAAATCATAATTTCAAAGAAAAGTCGATGAAAAGTCGATGGAAATGCATGTTAAAATCATCGCGAACGTAGTTTTAATCTCTTTCACCAGTCGTTATTGGAGTGTTTCAACGGTAGAAACACAGGGCATAACACTGATCGGAGCCTTCTCTGGCTGGACAAAAGGTTTACCCTGCGCAGCGTTTACTAAAAAAATGTTTATCAGAACTCGCCAACGGGGGCCCTTTGGGCTACAGGTACTTCCCCGCACTACGTACGCAAGACCCTTTTCATGTCAAAACAACAAAAAGCCACGTGCCAGACAGTGTCCAGGCAGTTGCCAGATAGTGAACTTGAAAGATAATTGACTGGCGGCTGTGGTTTGCGGCTATGAAGGGAGATGGCTGTGTCAAGTTACAGGAGTTTATAAATGTTTCAATGAGACTTGGCAGGAGGCCTGGTCGAAAGTTTGTTGACACGGCCTGGGTGAAGCCCTGGCTGCAAAGTTCATTGAACCAGCTTATTTGGCAATGGTTGAATGAGGATTAGATGGAAGGTGACCGTCATTGGCCCTCAATTTTTTTTTATTCAAAAAATTCGGTCACCTGATCGCAAACTGGAACTTGGTCACTCTGCGGAGATAATAAGAATGGGAATGCGCTTATCTTGTATCGGTTAATTGGCTCGACACATGATCGAGGGATGGACAGAGTGTTGGTATTGTGGAGATTGTTCGACCTTTTTTTATTATAAACCTCAATTCTTATTGTTACATGCATTTTTTAAACTCTCATTCCCAGCAAACATACCGCAATCGGCCCAATACTGGCTTGGTACAGGCTGGCAACGGCACACCGTAAAACGATGGCCGTTTCACGGCCAGGATCACGCCGATACTGGCTTTGTACCGTCAGCCGTTATGCTGCCAGTTCAATGTCATCGGTAACAGGCCGTACTGGTGTCACATGAAAATCCGACTCCTTTGAAAATCGGACCCCTATTTCCCTATTATTGGTTGATCCCTCGCACGTGACAGGTCACCCTCCCGAAACGATTAAATAGCATAGTATCGTACTCACGCGTGCGCAGTACTACCAATGAGTCCACATTTCATGGAGTCGGATATTCACGCTACACCGGACCGATTCAGGCAGAGTTATCAGGGGGCGGTCCTATAGGTCTATAATTGACATAAATGGCCCGCCCCTTATGCAAGTGCGCAACACAACAATGCAGCTATTGCTCTTGATCACCCACTTTTTACTACAACTAGATCAGCCTTGTCATATTAGACAGACTGTCAGCAAAGTTAGCAGATGCAAATTTCGGAGAAACTGTTCGTTGAAGGTGCACAGACACAACTCAGTGTAGATTCTGAGCAGGGACGAAGCGAGGCCGAGTCCATTCCGGCACGAATCCACAGTTCCAAGTCCATGCTCTGCAACGGATATCAATCCTTTCAATTCCCAAACTGTGCTGGACTATTGGATTGGACTTGCGATTTACATCATCGCGAAGACGCATAGGCCTACACTCTAAACAGTCCTGGGTCAGACTTGACCAGGAAAAGGGCCATGTGGTGTCTGACCCTTTTTGGGGTCAAAAAAGAACACACAGGTCTGGGTCAAAATAACCATTTGATGCTACATGTCCGGGTCATTTTGACCCGAAAAGTGTCATTTTTGACCCGAAAAAGTGTCATTTTGGACCTGGAAAAGGGTCAGGCCCCACACGACCCTTTTCCAGATCAAGTCTGACCCGGGACTTTTTAGAGTGTATATTAACGAATCACAAACAATTTCAAGGTTGTTTTTTTGTTCATGCAACGTTTGTCCAACAATGTTTGTAGCTGAAGATAAGTACTGAACAAAAGTCTCAAAATTGCACGGAGAACACTTTCACATACATATTGTTAACATACTATAACTTGTAGCGATTCAAGACGAAAGTGCGGATCACACGTTGCGCCCAACCCTAATAGGCTACCGGTACGTGTATTGTTACATACGAAGTGGACGGCAAAACCCATGACAAAGATTATATCCTCTAGCGTGTTTTACAACAACTTTTTTATGTAACTTACACTTGCAGCCACAAGAGTACAATCCTAAAAGCAGGTAATTTTAGTTGGGAATTTGGTCTTTTCCAAAAGCTCGTGTTCCATTAATGACACAAACGCTATACCTATATTTTCTTTCTTCATTTAGTTAAGGTCGGTATTTACAGAGCTCCGCCATGGCAATGCTTCAGAGCTGCATTGACATTTGCAGCTCCTTCTTCAGAAGACGAGGGACTCTTAAGGAATCGAACTCAAGCCAGCTTAAGCGATGCCTTACTGCTGCCGACCTAACCTTCGTTGGCATAGGAGCAATGCTAGGCTCTGGGGTCTACATCCTTCCCGGAGAAATAGCCGGTGAGATGGCGGGACCGGCGGCTGTTCTGTCCTTTCTCATTGCCGGACTGGTAGCTTTGCTGAACGGCTTTTGCTTCCTAGAGTGTGCAGGACAGATACCGCAGACGGGAGCAGCCTACGTCTACGCATACGCGTCACTCGGAGAACTGGTCGCCTTCTTGGTCGGCTGGAATGCCATAGCAGCACGAGTCATGTCCCTCGTGTATGTAGCGCAAGGATGGAGCGCCTATTTCGACGACGTTATCGGAGGCCACATACGAAATTTCACCATTGAATTTGTTCTCCAGGGCGAGGAATGGGACGCACCTCTTCTTACCAACTTTCCAGATTTCACAGCCGGTGTTGTGATACTTCTCGGAAGTATCCCTGTCGTGTGGGGTGTGGACATCTTTGTCACTGGCAACACTATCTTGGTGGTTCTGAACATGGTCGTTGTTGCTTTGGTTTTCGTGGTTTCCATGGTCTATGCAGACTTGTCACTGCTTACAAAGCACGGGTTTTTCCCTTTTGGCTTCTCTGGTGTCATGAAAGGTGCAGTGGCAGCATCTGTAGGGTTCTGTGGATTTGAGGCGATCGCGCTCAGCTCTGAAGAAGCCCATAACCCCAGCAGAGGCCTTCCCATCGGCCTCATCAATGCCTTCGGGGTGTCATTCTCAGCTTTCATTGCTGCCACTCTGTCGCTCACCGTCTTAAGCGACTACAAAGATATCCAACCAAAAAGTTCGTTTGCGTCAGCTTTCGGAATGATCGGTGTTGACTGGTTGAGGTATATCGTATCCCTCGGTGCCATCAGCAGTATGACGGGAGGAATTTTGACTCACTCTTACTGTCTGTCTCGATTCGTCTACCCGATGTCACGTGATGGGCTGCTCCCTGCCCTGCTTGCCAAAACCAACGAGCGAACCAAGACCCCTATCTGGGCCACCATGTTTGGAACATCCCTGGCCGTCATTTTCAGTGTAGTGATGGACTTTGCGAGTGTGATTAATGTCATATCTCTCTTGTATTTGACGGAGTTTGCAGTAGTTTGTTCTGCTGTAGTCATTCTGCGCTACAGTCCCCGTGCACGGAGTGGCTATGTATCCATGGACGGCAGAGATGAGGATACTGAAAACGGAACCAGCCGTGATGAGATGACCGAAATGAACCCACACGACCAGATGGTCACCGAATCGAATGCACTGATCGACCCTCAAAGCAACGGAAGCGGCACCGTCACACACGGGATACTTGACTGCCTGGCAAATGCTCAATTCATCCCAAAGCCAATTTCTTTCATACTTCGGACGATTAGACGCCACCCAAGGAGAACCGTGATTTCTTCACTTGGTTTACATGTGATGTTCGGGATCGTCTTGGTGGCGCTGTTGACCTACAAGATGGATGCATTTAAGCAGCTTGAGGGCGCTGTTGTATTCGGGATCATTGTGAGCGGCGGTGTTTCTGTCGTGGCATGCTGTCCTCTGTTGTTTGTACCTCAGTATGATGCGGACATATCGTTTAAAGTAAGTACTTTATCGTTTAAAGTATGAGACTCCCATTTAATGTTTTTTTAACCCGTGCACAATGGAACATTTTGACCAATATAGGCCTGTACCAATTTTCAAATGTTGCCCTACACATATGATTTTCCCTTTTGTTCACGACTCACGACACCAGAAAACACAGCCATACGGACCAAATCAAGGACATAAAATGACTAACGATTACTGCTTTCAACAGTCTGTTATACTGTTATAATACCAATCCAATTTTGGCAATTATCCCCCAGATTCCTTTGATGCCATGGTTACCGCTAGTTGCCTTACTGTGTGACATCATTCTTATCTTTCAACTGGACGGCCTCGCCTTTGTCACAATTCTGATTTGGATGTGTTTCGGTAAGAAGGAATCGAAACATGTACTTCGCACTCTTGCTTAAAGGCGAACATTTATAATAATTGTTTACTGGAAAAACAAGGCATACTGCATGCAAACCAATGATCTCCATATACCAACGTGGAAAGCCAGTGCATTGGATGCAACACTGGAGAAGGAAATATCCCTCTGACTTTGCCGCTGGCTACCGCCGCAGTTCTGTCTGCAGGTCATCGCCCCCTTTAAACAAAATTGCAAATTAGTAGTAAAGTCAAGTCGGTGAAGAGCAAATATGGCACATCAGGCCGGCGTTTATTCCTGAGAATATTTCTATTACCCCTGGATGGGTTGCCGTCTCGTAAAACACATGTACACATTTAACGAGAAGGTCCGATGGTCATGAAACTTGGTGGGTAGTATATGTGGACCACTTATGTTAGTATGTGGACCATCATTATGACGACATAGGTGAAATGACAGATGCTGCTGTGAGACTTCCTGTAGACTATGTTCTTCCCAGGTAATCGTGAAATTTCTTACTCCGCTTTTACCGAAAACTGCTGATGGGTGTTTGACGTCACAGCTTTGATATTGAACCACACGTTTCACGGGGCATACAACTATTTCAAATGAGTGTTCGGATACCAAACAAAATTTTCTCTCTTTTTTTTTTCTCTTAGGACTGCTAATATATTTGCTTTACGGAATAAAACACAGCTTGGCAGCAACGAAGTGTGAAGACAGCAATCTCAACGGCAATTGAGCAGTGGCTTTACCGGACCAGCGGTAGAACGTTTGACTTCTTGGGGGATCTGAAAGCATCATCACAACATCACATGACACAACTGATTTCATTCCCTACTCGTGGTAATGCTACCCTGGACAAGATTTTCACCAATTTTCCTGTCCTGTTCAAGGAACCTGAGAGACTCCCACCTCTGGGAGCTAATGATCATTGCTGTGTCCTCCTCTCGGCGGTCTGTGAACTCCCTCAACAAAAGAAGGGCGCAACAAGCTTTCGACCCTACGGAGATTCTTCTGTGCGTTCGTTTGGGCAGTGGATAGTCGACTACGACTGGAGCAGTGCACTCACTGACTCATGTACTGATTCAGTGGGAAACTTCTTGCCTACAGTTACAGATGCCTACAATTTCCATTTTCCACTGGTTTGTCATTGTTCTGGTTTGTTATTTGGCTTGTCGCTGTAGTCAGTTTTTTCTATTTGTGCTTTTGTTGGGTTATTGTAATGCTTGTTTGTTTGTTGCCTGCTTGTTTGTATTTTATCAATTTCTCTTTTTCTTTTTAAACTACTTGTATCTATAGGGATCGTAAATGTAAACTTCGGTGTGTGTGAATAATTGAATGCCTTGTATATCATGTCTGTTTGTTTGGTTCTCTCTTTTTAATCTAATTGTAACTGAAAGGACTTTTATGTAATGTAAAATGTGATGTGTGCAATGTTTATACATGTAATGCATGTCTGTTTGTTGTTGTTTAGTTGTTTGTTGGGTGTGTTTGCTCGTTTGATGTTGTGTTGTGTGTGGGGGGGGGTTAAGGGTTGTGTTTGTGTTGGTGATCTAAATGGTTTGTGTGAAACTTTTTACCTGTTTGTTTTTTTCAAAATCATCTGTTGTATGGAATGTAAATTTTCACCTTTGGTGTGTGAATTTTATGCTGTGTATCATGTCTGTTTGTTAGTTTCTCCCTTTTAAATGTTACTGTAACTGTGACGATATGAACTTATAGCCTGATTTTGTAAATATTGTAATTGTCAGCATTTATGCTGTTGTGTACAATATATTTTGTTTTTAATAATAAACCAGAATAAAATCACAACAATAAGCCTTTGTACTGATGACGTCACACTTTGTTTACGTGTGTGCTTTCCTATGGTGCTCAGTGGACCGTGGTCCCCCACTGGCTCCATAGGAAAGTGCACATGTATCAAAGTGCAACGTCTTCAGTAGGCCTACATAGGCTTATTCACATACGGATTTGTGTGAATTGTTTTCGTTTTGCTGAAAGAACCCACGCCATTTTTGTGATCCGTGGACATAAGTTTAAAATGGTGGTTTTTAAAATGCCGTATAACTTGAAAAGCACATGAGTAATTTGAATGATTATTGTACTAAAAGATCGTTTATAAATTGGGATCTCATCAGTCTAGATTTTGAAAGTGCTACATGCAGAACTTCACGAAAATAAATGTCCCGACATTTGGGTTTCTTTTTTTTTTTTACTCACCCTGTACATGTTGTTTGTACAGTATGTTCCTCCTATGTAAAACTGGAGTGTGTTCTGCTTAAAGTTTGTCTGCTGTTGATGGAGTCATTGATTTTTGTCAGAGTGTACTCTAAAGTCCACTTAATTAATTCACACTGTATTGGTTCTAAGTCTTTGCTGTTCGTTTCTATTTTTTTTGGCTCAAGGTTTAAACTTGGTTTAAGTCTTTAGTTTTGATTCTAGGGTTGGTTGGTTATTGGTCTTTGCTGTTCTTGTGAATAAATTCTTTGGGTTTTTGTTTTTGGTTTGTTTGTTTAAAAATCTGAACGTTTGTTTCTGGTCTCTGTTAATTCAATTTCCTCGCGACCGTTCCTGTCAAAGATCAAAGAGTTTAGTTTAGTTGTATTAGCTTTAGTTTAATTCAGTCTCTGACCTCCTGGTAAAAACATATGCATGTTGTACTTCGACCTCGAACATGTTCGTTGAGGGCCACCGTACCAGCAAGTCAAGTCAGTGATCCGGTTCGTGAGTAAAAACGTCATACACGCGCGCGCACCATTGATTACTAGCGCCCATTGGATACACACTTGCGTTAGCTTCCGGTTCCATTGGTTCCAGTAGTACTGAATGACCAGTGGGCGTGGTTTAAACTAAAGTGACGTCACATTAACGAACCGGATACTGGTTTTGGCCGGCGAAGTCATAACAAACGGATCATCGTTTCACTGATCATTGTTTTGACCAAACCACCAGGCTTCTGACTAGCACGTTGAAAGGTAAGACATTCAAAAATCATATTATTTGTTCGTCGGTCCAGCTGGCCATCATAATCTGTTTACATCTCCAACCGGCCACACGTTATGAGAGATAACCGCTTGCTTTCTTTGTGTCGCGTTCGTTGTGACAAGTTTGTTGCGAAAGGCGTCCGGTATTTCTCTTGCTCATAGTCATTTTGGGCGAGGCCCAACAAGGGTGTTCTAGGAAATAAAAATCATGCGAATGTAGGCATTGATGACCTTTAAAAATCAACATCAACTTGAACATTCAACTTTGTCAATTTGACAAGTGGCTTAAAAGAATGATATTTCTTCCATGCGCCATTATTGATTTGAGGAAACACAAACAAACATTAAATGAATGAATGGAGGTTCAATACAATTAAGATTTCTCAAGTGTCATAATGCGGGTTTTTTTTAGGCATTTGCCGTGTATTTGTGCATGATTTTCTAAAAAAAAATCCGGGGGGGGGGGGTAATCCCTCCTCAAATAGACCGGCCGGATGGAATTGCCCCACACTGTAAAGAAAAATGCCCGCCGACCGTTTTTTTTTTGGTTCTTTTTGTTGTGGGGGGGGGGGGGGTTAAAAAGTATGAAAATATTGCCATTTTTGGTCGGACCATTTTCTTAGGACTATGAGCAAAATTAATTAATTGTAGGCCTACTAAAGCGTTTCTAAACATGCTCTTTATTGCTTGTTTCCCCTTAAATATTCTGTTTTCAAATAGTTACTGGTCTTATTTCAAGGCTGAAAATATAAAAGCACGTACTTTTGCGCAATAATTACTGCATTTATTAATGTTAATCGCGAAAAATTAATATTAACCAAGATCACACAGTACAAAAAATACCATAGTTCGTATGAATAAAAACTGGCATTTGCATTACAACCAGTTTCTTTAGGATTTACTCGCATTTGTAGCTGTATGAATAAACTCGCATCTGAATGAATACAAATGAGAGTCGTGGTTCTGTAGCGCGACGGATCCTCGCGGAATGGACTTGAAAAACCTTCTTTTTTTTCTCTTACACTACTCCGTTTATTTCTCACAACATTTTTACACAAAACATACTTCTCACAATATCACTATTACATCAAGACTACAAAAGGGATCTTTTTTTTTTTTTACAAAGAAATGGCATTCGATGGACAACTTCCATCATGTGCACAACTTCTGACAGTATGGATCAATTTCAGTTTTTCTTTTTATTTCGGATGAGTGGAAGAACATGCTCTTTTAAGTTAATCTTCATCGGTGTTTCAGGTTCGATTGTTTTGTTTTTTAAGAAGCAAAAGTATACATTTTGGGTCACCCTTTTTTAACTTAACCTGTATAGCCGAGCATCTGATATTCTCTTTTGTTTCTATCTAATTTTCACATAGTTTAGTGAACGAAGTCATCATGGCGAAAATTCGAGGCAAAATTTTGGTTGTTTGGTACCTTACCTTTTCCATGTGCATTCTTTATATTGGTAAGTAACATTACATAACTTCGAAAATTTAGTAGTTTGTAGTTGGTTTCTTTTCAAAGTGTCGGGTTTCTGGAGATGGAGGGTTGGTTGAAGATAGAGGTTATCTTTTTCGGTTTGCGGTAACACCATGGGCAATAACTACTGTCGCTAAGTGGTTACTTAGAACTGATAAGAGTTTGTCCTGTCCTGCTTATTATCAGCTTTCGCTCCATGTAACAAAAAATGACGGATACTGTAGTAAATGTTACTACACCATCAGTAAATGTTTGACATTGTAGTACATGTACATTTTACTACAAAGTATCAGTCAATTTGTGTAACATTTTCGGTTGGTGATGCACTCTAAAAAGTCCCGGGTCAGATTTGACCCAGAAAAGGGTCATGTGGAGCCTGACCCTTTTCCGGGTCAAAAATGACACTTTTCTGGGTCAACATGGACACTTTCTCGGGTCAAAATGACCTGGAAAATGAGTCACACAGTGTAATTGTGACCCAGAAAAGTGCCATTTTTGACCCGGAAAAGGGTCAGGCCCCACATGACCCTTTTCCGGGTCAAGTCTGACCCGAGACTTTTAGAGTGTACATTATCCGTTGGTTACTACATTTTCAGTTGTAACACAAAATGACCTGGAAAATGAGTCACACAGTTTAATTGTGACCCAGGAAAAGTGTCATTTTTTGACCCGGAAAAGGGCCAGGCCCCACATGACCCTTGTCCGGGTCAAGTCTGACCCGGGACCTTTAGAGTGTACATTATCCGTTGGTATACCTTTTTCAGGTGTAACACATGCTACGCATAATCAATTTATCCTCTCTCCTCATCAGAGACACCCACTCGGCTGTAGTCGACTCTATCAAAAGTCCTCTAGTTTATTACTGACGAGTTGATCACAAGTCAATCCCAAAGTGAATTTCATTTTAGCATTTTGGTCCCTTTCACTTGATGCAGGACTTCTGAATTGATATGTATGTGACCGAACTTTTGATGGACTTGTAGCGATGTCATAATACACTGCATCCTGAGTATGGACAGAACTCACGTGCGGCATAGTCAACATTTCAATTTAATCCCTGATTTTAATACATTACAAAAAGAAACTATACAGATTATCTGTTAACACAATAAATGAGACTTATTTGATCATAAACGTTGGTGGGATCACCCACAATTTGTATGAAAAAGATTGAACAGTGTTACACAATGTTTGGTATAAAAAACTGTTTTTATTGTATCACATTATTTTACAGCCTATTCGACGATGTACTTGGCGTCATCTGTCCATTTGGCGGAGACCCGTCTAACTTTCAAGCCGACGTTTGGCCCATGCGCAAGAATGGTGCTCACTACAACGAACGCGGCCTACTTAGAAATGGCCGAAAACATGCTGACAAGCATCCAGCTAGTTCGAACCCCGTCTTTTCCCAACGTAACCGTTATCGCCGAAGACGAGCAGTCTTACGAATACATGACAAACCTGACGAAATTCCACCAGGGATTGATTGTGCAGAAAACCAAAGCGGGAATGACTTCCTCTGAGAACCTCAAGGTGAAAACTAAGGAACACCAGTACCAACAATTTGTTAAACGACGTCCACGGTATGTACTGGAATTTCTTGAGAAGGGTTATGATGTGCTATTTGCCGACGCCGATACGTTTTGGCGCAAAAATCCGTTCAACGATGACGATTTCAAGGGGGACTTTGATATTGCTGCGCATGACGAGGTGGATCGTCCCAAAACGCCTTTATTTTGTGCTGGTTTTGTCTATTATCGCCCAACAAATAACACAATCAGCCTGGTAAGGGAGTGGGTGAAATTGTTAGATACAACAGATAAGAATACCTTAGATCAATTTGTTTTTAACAGCCTGATCAACAGGGAGCTAGATAAGAATGTCACCGGGGGGTTGAAAATGAAGACACTGGATCCTGTCAAGTATCCGGACGGTAAATTGTACTATCGTGTCCCTGGGTGGAGAGACGAACACATTAACCAAACGATTGTAATGCATTTCAATTTCCTTCATGAACTTGATTCCAAAGTGGAGAAGATAAAGAAACTTGGATGGTGGTTAGTTTAAAATTATGTTAAGGTCGTTAAACTGCCTTAACATACTTGGGAAAAAAACATAAACTTAAAAGGTGAATTTTTTTCACACGGAATTAATTATCCTTTGCAAATCTCAAGAAACTGAGTTAATAGAATTAACATGCCATTTGACAACAAATCAAAGTTAGACTTTTTGTCGTCAATGTATTGTCAGAACGCAGTCGACTTTCCAGAGAACTTCATGGGCGGATCGGGGGGGGGGGCACAACGAGGGTCATTGCGCCCCTCCAAAAAAACCCGAACCCATTCTATTAATTTTTTTAAGTGACGTCGTAAACGTGGCGTCATAACGGTCATAATTGCCTCAGATCGCACCACAGAACATCTAGAATCTATTTTTTTCGGGGCCTTTATGATACCGAACCCCACGCCGTAATTTTTTCACCCATTTTTTGGCGACCAAAATTGTTTGGGCCCACCCCCAAATAGAAATTGTGTGTTCTGGATTCGCCCTTGGAGAACTACGAAGAGAAAATGCAGAAATAGGCTACATACAAGAGGGTTAATAAAGGGTTAGCATGTTTAAATTATGAACATCGTTAGCGTGTTTATGGGCCCTTTAAAACCAGTAAATAATGAGAAGAAAAAACTCACCGCAGGCATTTTCCACATTTTGATTTCTTGTTATAAATATATTCTTTGTAGGCGCTGTGAAGCATGTACATGATAATTGTTTAAAATTAGTATTATAATAATGTACTTCTCACTTTATCAATTTTACAGTTGGATTCGACAAGGCTCTTCTTCATTACAATCAAGATGCACGGTAATTCTGTATTATATCTGCACATATACATAAAGGATTTTCTTTAACTGTCAGGGTGCAGACATGCTGTAGTTCGCTAAATAATAAAATTATTTACGGACTTTCTGCAGGTCTGGTAGCTATGTTAGTCAATGAGGAACGTTATATTTACCGCTTTCTCGAACTGTGTCCAATTTAACATTCATTATGTCGCCTCGCATACATAGATTGTATACGGACTTGTTTGTTTGTTTTATCTAATACAATAAAATTATAGAGTATAGCATAGATCTTAATATTTGTTCAGCTTCTACCGATGGTTTGTCATTTACGTCTCTCGTCTGACTGCTTGTTTTATTATTATTTATTATTTATTTCTTATTTACCCTGGGGAAACCTCTCAGTGGTACACTGTTTTCCAGAGGTGCCCAGCAATTATACAGAAAAATTCATTCAAAATTACAAATACAGAAAACACTAAAAATAGTAAACAGTAAAATGCGGGGTACATAAAAACACTTAAAATATAAAAAAAAAAAAAATCACGGACCAGCCAGCAAAAACAAACAATATACAGATACACACACCCCAAAAAAAATGCACTGCAAAAAAATCAAGGGCACACATGCACTGCTTGAAACTCTGCGTTCAACCTGAGAAGACTACACTTAGCGGGAATATACAACATTTGCATTATCTATTTGTAATTTTCAGATTTGCTACTATCTGGTAGTTGAAATTGCTGCATGGCACACACACGATCTGATACACCGTGCCCTCTGGAGACATGCACACAATAGGGAACAAAAGATTGTATACGTCTCCACAGGGCAATTTCTACGTCTCCACAAGGTTTTCACGAAATCGATATATGGATTTTACTCAAAAACTAGGAATTTCCAAGATATGTTGATCCGTTGCATATGTTGATCCCTGGTAGAGTTTAGAAAAGGGATATTAAGTCCAAATTCAGCCAAAGAAATTAATTCTGGTTAAAATAAGCATTTTTAAACTGTACTTTCAAACTCGAAAACTGTAGTACACGAGAACAAAGAAATGTCTCCACAAGAATACAAGTTTCAGTATGCGTGCGTGCTTAACGTCGGTATTGAGTATGTGCCAAAAGGCTGCCACAACAGTAAGGAAAAAATAAACCCAAAGCCTTCGCTTCGAAGTAGTACCCAATTGGAACACGGCTCAATTCTACATGAAACTTTGGTTTTTGAACTCAGATTTTTTGGGAAATACTTTCCGTTTAATGCCCTTACCGCGCCCTCATACTCATGTAACTGCCTAGAACAAAGCCAAAGGTATTACATTGCTGAAAGTTAAAATAATTTAATCTAAATAACTTAATCTAATGAATTTTTCTCTGTTAGTTATTCTTTGTAATGGATTTTAATCCTCGTTATATTCTATGTTTTTTTAATGATGATACAGCCCATTGAAAATCATCGTGGAGGTGACATGGCTACCATCAGAAAATAAAGTTATTATTATGAATAAAATACATTATTTGTACAATTTAATTTCAAACAACATATACAAACCATATTTTCCAATATACATTATAAGACAGCAGTAGCGTCTTCACCAACACAAACGAGCGTAAAGATGAATATTTAGGTCCCTTAATATTTACTACTCTTTAACAATGACCTAGATTTTCCATGAGCGTCATCTTTCACATCTCATCGTACCGCAGAGAAAAGGGTGTTGCTTCCTGGCAGGTGTTTGAAGTCACTGAAAAAATGTACCAACAAAATATCGTCACCGACACCACGAAGTAACACCCAAAGTCCACTTCAGTGTTACTTCGTGAAAACTGCAAAATGACAAATAATTGGTTTCACGAAGTGACACATAATGTCAGTCAAGTCAGACACCGGCGGGAACGATTTTCGCTTTCACACTGTTAATGTTACGGATACTATTTGGATTAAAGCGTTTTAAAACGTTTGACAAGAATGTAATTAATACCTATTCGTGTAGGATTACAGACAATTTTAATCAAAAGCCTTCAAACTGGTGGGAAAAAAGATGTGTGTCACTCCGTGCAATCGAAAATGACCGATTCAGCGCATATTGTAAATGAGTGTTACTTCTTGAAAACGAAAATGACCGATTCATCCCACAGTGTACACGAGTGCCACTTCGTGAAAACGAAAATGACCGATTCAGTGCACATTGTACATAAGTGTTACTTCGTGAAAACGAAAATCGCTTTGTTCAAAAATACGCGCGCGTAGCGCGAACTCAGGTCCACTTGGGTGTTACTTCGTGGTGTCACTGACGATATGTCAGACAGAAACGTTTGTATTTACAATCTACAGTCAGCCATTGAAAGAGTTACAACGCCTTAAGGCATCTCTCATCCGTAGTAAGAAGTACTTTTGTTAATACGATTGTACTTCGATCTTGTACACCTCTTACCGGCCTCAATTAGCTTGTTTCTGCGATCGACTATCTTAAAAGAAACATTTTGTTTCTTATTCACATTGAAACAAAATGTGAATAATACGGCGAATGTACGAGGAGGTGGGATTTTTAAGGTCTAAGCTCCCTCTTGGTACGCCCCCCCCCCCCAAAAAAAAAAAAATCTGAAAAAGACAGCATATGCCTGTTGGCAAGAAAGGCAACATACACATTGAAATGGTCATTGACACTAAGGAAAAGGATAGTGGGAAAACTTTACTCACATGTTATTCAGCGCCTCCAGTTTAGCGGTTATTCTTACTCTTGGGCTTCTCAAAATACATAAAATCCTGGAAAAATTATCAAAACAAAAAAAATACCGGGTGAGTCAAAAAAAAAACGAAACCCAAATGTCGGGACCATTGTTTTAGTGAAGTTTTGCATGTATCATTTTTATAATCTAGGATATGAAAGCCCAATTCATAAGCTTTCTTTTAGTAGAAGAATCATTTAAATCACTTATGTACTTTTCAAGTTGCGGAGTTTTAAACACTACCACCGTCTTAAAGTTCTGTCCACGGATCACACACATCCTTATGTGATTTGTTTTCGTTTTGCTGAAAGAACACTGAACTTCTTGTGATCCGTGGGGAGAACTTTAAAACGGTGTTTGTGTTTAAAATTCTGTATCTTAAAAAGTACATAAGTGATTTGAATGATTCTTGTATGAATTGAGCTTTCATATCCTAGATTTTGAAAGTCCTACATGCAAAACTTCACTAAAACAATGGTCCTGACCATTGTTTTTTTACTCACCCTGTAGAATAACTAAAGAGTGCAATTGAGCTTTTATCCCCAATTTTGTAGTCGAGAATGGGCTATTTTCTTTTGCTGATCGGAAATCTCATTAGGAAAATAAACAGCACTTGGATACCTTACTGCTGTTAATGATGTTGTTAAATGGTAGGCGCATTGTGTCGTTTGTATTTCAACTTTGAAGATATTGGAATCCTACTCACAACCAAGAAAACAGCTCCTAAAAGGCAAGCCTTCATCTCTACAGTCAAGTCCATCGGAACTTTAGATGGAAAAAGAAAAAGTCATTTTATAAACAATTAAAAAAAACATATTTTGTGAAATGATGGGGGAATTTCAACCTAGAATTATATGAAATGAAATGCTCTTATTATTATTTTTTTTTAAAGTAAAATTCAAGTCAACATTACCTTAATAAATATGAGGCTTTTTTATGTACTTTGTGCGACCATAAAACTGGCCAGGTCGCCGTTGGAGGCTCAAAGGAGGCTGATCATGGTTGCCTAGGTCGTTCAAAGGTGGTACAAAGGATGTTCAGACATTGCCATGGACGCAACTGTTGCCGCAAATTTTTGAGCATGTTCCAAATCAGTCGCAAAAAGGTCGCCGAGGAGGTTGGTTGCTCAAAGGTGGCTCATAATGAGGCAGAAGGAAGGCACAAGCATTGCCGTGGTTGCAGAATGGATGCACAATGGTCGGCCAATGATCGCCACATAAAAGATCCGTTCTGTTGCAAATTTTACCGTCAATCTGGGCGATATTTCTGCCTCCCTTTTGCCTCCCTTGTGCCTCCTTTGGCCGACCAATAGCGTGCATTGATCGACGATATGGCGACCGCTGTACATGTGCCACCATTCGGCGACCACGGCAACCCTTGAGCCACCATGGTCGTAGGTTGCACAGGGGAAGCACAAGGGAGGCTGGCAAGTGGCTCAGTGGACGCACAGGTCGCTCGTAGCTCGACATGCCCTTAAATTGCAGTTTCGTGGTTCAAGGGAGGCACACGGATCGCTGGAGCAGTTACATAGAAACAGGATTTTCTGGGTTTAAACGATCAATCGAAGCAATCCTAGAACATTCCCAAAACCAAAACGTTTGAACATTCAGTCTTTGCATGCACGTTTACAAACACGTGCGTGTACTGAACCTATGGGACTTGTTAACCAATCACGTAATGTGCAACAACTAACGGAGCTCCTCGAACTCCGCCCAGTAACTAACACACCATGGATTAACCATTAATACTATACGCATGGCGTCACAAATAAACTGGTTCTAAGCTCACTTTCCGTCACGGTACTTACAGGAGATGGCGAAGTTGTCGGCGTTGGTGTAATGTTCCTTGATGATCCCTCCCCACTGCTTGCTCAGTTTACCCATCTCCGTGCTCAAGTCTGGGCTCATGACCTTGGGATGGAAGGGCATTATCAGAATAAAGAGGTTGGCATAGACCTGAGACACAATGACGTCACGCTTTGTTTGCAAGTGGGTTTTCCTGCCTGCCAAGGGTCTATGATATGCGAGCAGATTCGGCGATTAGTGAATGCAGAACAAGACTGCGTCTCGACCTCGAGATACTGACCAATCAGCGGGTTTTTGCTTACCGTTGTTGTATTTAATACCAAAAATTGGCAATCAAATTGAACCATAAACAGCTTAGTCCACATTTCTGCTCGAATTGGCGTCACAGTTTCTAAAGTCGTCTCCCATTGGCTTGCGCGCGTGGTTTCTCTGATCACGTGAATATCTGTTCCGCAGACTACTTTCCCGTCGTGGCCAGGGTCAATTTCTTTGCGCCGCTTTGTGAGCGGGACGCGATATTTTTTTCAGTGCCACACATTTGCTATGGGTGTATATCGAAGCACATTGCGTTGCAAGTCAGGTTCTCGGACTATCTTTCACCGAGAAACGAAAATCCTACGAACCAGAAATTACCACAAGAAAATTGTTCCAAGTGACTAAAAAACCTTTTCAGTGGGATTGGAACCGTGACCTAACGGATGTTCAATCCAAAGTAGTATCCAATAGACTACAGCAGGAACTCGCTCAAATGTATAGCGCCCTCCTCGTAATTCTCTTTTTCATAGTCACTGTGTGGTATTGAGGAAAACAAAATCGCAAGCGGGGCAATTTGATAACAACAAACGGACAATTTGGGGCTTCATATAAGTTGTTGTCTGAAAACCTCTTTTCCCCGGTCTATTCGGGCGATTCACAATGCAGTGCGCCACCAAGAGTTTGCCACGGAGAGTTCATTTTCCCCCCAGTGCATTGTGGGAGATGGTCGACAAATTCGCAGCGCGGGACATTTGAAATTGTTAGTATTTTCGGTCAGCGGTTTCGTAAGCGTATGATTTGAGGATTTGTTTCTCATTTCTTTTCTTGTTATCAATATGGTGTTTTTTTGTAAGGCGACAGAACGCTATGCCCCAATCTATGACATATGAGCTCAAGTTGTCTACCGGCACTCATTCAAATAGTCCATGTTTTGTCGACCGTAAACTTGAAAAACTGAGTCTCTGTGGCAAACTCTTGGTGGCGCACTGCATTGTGAATCGCCCGAATTAGAGAGAGATTCTTACGTTGAAGTCGATATCATCGGTGCAGCAGACGTTCTGGCAGAACCAGAAGGGACCTTTAATCTTCAAAACCTTCTCTTTTGCCACGTTAAGAATGTCGTAGTTTGGATACCACCAACTTTGCCTATTCACAACAACAAAGCAACACAAAACACATTATTTTTATTTGTAACTGATTCATTTACTATACTGTGTAAGTATTTTTGTCATTCACATAATAAGCAAGTTCGGCAACCTGCTTACTTTTTTTCCAACCTCATTTCCAATAGTAAGCCCTGGATAGGAAACTTTCTTCCTGTATCCTGATTCGATATCGCAATTTGCTAATAATGGATTTATATCGTGTAGTTGGTGTTGGTATTTCCAACGACCTTGATGATACCTGCATCGAATTAGGCATATTTCGGTTCTAAACTTGGAAGAGAATATTTGTTTTGCTGAGAATGTGTTAAACTTACGACTGTCTGACGTAACCGATGACGTTGCCGGCTGGTGCCTCCACGGAAATGTCTGCGGCCACGCAGTCGCAATTGGCGCACCAGCAACAGCCACCGCAGCACTTAAACTCACGGTTCAACCGAAGCACCTCCTGCAACAAATGTTGAGTCAATAGAAAATTGAAGCAGCGGCACGTCTAGTTTTCTTCCGTCGTTTATTTCTCTAAACATGTTGAGTACATGTAGGATTTCTGCTCAGCATTTTTTGTCAGCTCTGCACGTTCTCCGTTGAAGATCAACATCACTAAACACGCTCAAACTAACTGACATTAATCAACTCCACACGGGTATTTTTATGTTTAAATTTGTTAATAATCTTCTTCCTCATTCCTTCTCTTCTTTCTTTACCTCAGTCCGAGATACTCACAGATATTCTACTAGGTGTCACAATAAGCACAATTTATTCCTACCGTTCACTCGCACAACTCATTCCCTGAGCACTTTGAAATACTATGGCCTGCGTCTTTGGAATACTTTGGACAAATCCATTCGAAGCCAGTCGTCCGTTGGCCAATTCAACGAAATTATAAGAGGATCTTAATCTCAAATTATGTAACGCAGCTTCTTTGATCTCATTGGCTATTTGCTAAGGTTTTTAGTCTTCCCTCTCCTCACCATGTTTATTGTTTTCAACAATTTGTATAGTTGTGTGTTTGTGTGTTCTTGTCTTGGTTTGTTCGCTGCAGTCTCGTTATTGTTTTAGTCCATGTTTTTGTCATTGTGTACGTTTCTCGTGAATCTCTTTGTTTTTTCGGATTATAAGTTATTTGCACAAGGCATTTCTGTACAAGCTTCGCTTCAAGAAAATGCCTCCGTGGCTTCTTTTGTATTTTTTTTCAGATTTTATATTGATTTAATTTATTGAAGTTTCATTTAATTATTTCAGTTTATTTATTTCCTTTGAATTGTTTACTTCATTTATATTTAGTTATTTGGTTTACTACTATGTGTCAGAAAGCACGGAAATAAATCTAAATCTAAATCTAAATCTAAATCTAATCTAAGAAGAATTCAAGTCGACTTTGATGTATCTGGCAAAGATGTTTGAATTATAATAATCAATGGTATCAATATTTAAATATGCCCTTTGTATTCCTATGGAGATACTACCTGGTTACTATTGTCAGTAATGTGCATCATAAATCCACGCTTGCCTCCACAGCACTGCCGCACGCAGAAGTTGGATTCTGAAAATATTCACCACAATAATTGTAAGAATAATATTGATGTGAAATCTAATTTTTTAATATTTGCAAAATTCTAGTTGTTTGTCGGATCACTGTCCTTATCTTTGCACTGAGCACCAAAAGCAATATCAATCATGTCAGTTTTGACCCTGCAAAGGGAGGAGAAGTCCGCAAACCATTCTCTTACCAACTAAGGCATGCACATTATGGTCACTGACAGAAGAACAAAAATTCCATCAAGGCATGCTGTCAATTTTAATACGGAGGCTCCCTCTATTTGCGAAAGAAAATATCTTATAAGATATCTTGTGTTCAGATAATCCGCCATTTAGCAGTACTTTTTTCACAATAGCTTACAAAATGTTTTTGCCATCGGAGGGGCTTGGCGTTTGTTTATGGTGTAAATCGAGGACACTTAAGTGCAACATCATCGATGAATCGAGGACAGAAACCGAATCGAGGACTCCTATGTTCGAAAACGTGTACAAAACCAATGACAGCTGTTGCAAAAAGGTTGAAGTACAAACAAAGGAAAAAGGAAGAGGAAAACAAATCCTCTATTTACACCATAAACAAACGTACGTGTGTGTGTTTGCAGTGATGGTGTGCCCGGATTCGTCAATAAATGTTTCTCCTATGAACGGCGCCACCTATAGTGACAAATGGTGTTCCTAATTCAGGATTTTTCGTCATGCGTCCCCAGTCTTTGAAACAAATGCTTGTGAGTTGATGAGTGTCTCAAATACCTTCATGAGCGAAGTAAATCTGCTGGCCAAGGCTGTTCTTCACTTGGTACCGGTTATTTGTTTCGTAGTTGGTCAGAACTGTATGGAAAATAGGATGATTGAAGCTCGTGATTTCATTTGTATATGGGGAAATAGGCAATGTCAAATAAGTTGTTAATCTCTCTCATAGGGCCACTCAAGGCGACGGCTACACAAATACGGGATCAAAAAGTAAATCTAAGTAACTTAAGTAGAGAGTCAGGTTTTGATGTCACGCTTATAATCAATTGAAAACGTGATACAAGTAAGAAGTGCATGGTGATGCTGTGCGTCGGAAGGAACTGGATGAATACTTCCTAGAATTTGATTTGGGAGCAACGACTATAGGGTTGGATCTGTAGTTTTATGTATTTACAATTTTTTTTTGCGAACTTACTCTCGAAGAGTTCAAGGTGTTGATGGACCAGAAGCTGATCAATCTGGGTCAGGTATTCTAGACCAGGTGGACAGCCGGGTATTGGTTGCTGGTGGGGCATCCACTGCATCTGCCCTGGCTGCGCGTAGCCCATAGGCTGCTGACCAATAACCTGATAACGGAAATACAGGGTGATTAAAAATAACGAAATCCAAATGACGGGACCATTGTTTTAGTGAAGTTCTGCATGTAGCACTTTCAAACTCTAGGATATGAAAGCCCAATTCCTAAGCTTTTTTAGTACAAGAATCAGTCAAATCACTCATGTACTTTTCAAGTTACTGAGTTTTAAACACAACCGCCGTTTTAAGGTTCTGGCCACGAATCACAAAAAGTTCAGTGTTTTCAGCAAAACGAAAACAAATTTTACAAGGATATGTGTATGAATCGTTTTCGTTCTGCTGAAAGAACGCACACCTTTTTTGTGATCCGTGGACAGAACCTTAAAACGGTGGTTGTGTTTAAAACTCCGTAACTTGAAAAGTACACGAGTGCATGATTTGAATGATTCTTATACTAAAAGAAAGCTTATAAATTCGGCTTTCATATCCTACATTTTGAAAGTGCTAACATGCAGAACTTCACTAAATCAATGGTTCCGCCATTTGGGTTTGGTTGGTTTTTGTTTACTCACCCTGTATACATGAATTATAAGTCTGCATGAGTGCTGTAGTCGACGTGCTTGCGCTTGTGATGAATCACAAAGATATCTAGTCACACAGTATGGTCCAAAGTAAATAGGAAAAACGTTAACAAAGGCCGCCCTATAAAATATTAACTTGACAGCATTGAATTTAAATAACTGAGGGAATGACTTGTGACTGACTTGTGACTGACTTGTGATTGACTTGTGATTGACTTATGATGACTTGTGACCAATCACCAGATGCCCGACTTCAAGAGTGAGGAATCGCATTCGCCAAGACGTCAGTGATCGAACGCGATGGTTGCATTGTTGTAGAGTGCCCTTACACAATTTTTTTTTTTAACTTTAATTCTCGCACTATACTAGCGTACGTCTTGGGAATCTTACAGCAATGGGGGCGTGGCCGTTTTATGTGAAACTAACCGTTGGTGTAAATTTTGATATCTTCGAACAAAACGGCGGCTACCCATTCGATACCGGTAGTCCGCGCGAGGGGGTACGGGTATCACTGCGTTGCATATCTAATTAGCGATGCTTGATCACCGCACCTAGAGCGTATGTTTACAATCGTCACGCGAAGACTATAAAAATTGTCCCCAAAAAGACTCAAAAAGGCGCGCGTGACTGACTATAACCATTTCGCGATCGCTGATTGGTTCTCTAGGAAAGCCTAGCGAGAAAATAATAAACTCCATAATTCGCAGGCGCGCTAGTCTAATCATCCCTTTAGATGTGCACGATCCACTATCGATCGCTAGCGCCCTGGCCAAGACTAGCTTGGACTCTGCAGAGACTGTGTTTACATGAACTGTTTCTCCAGCACTACGTTTCCTCTGTTTCTCCCTGCAACATGGCATGTTAAAATTGAGGTATTTAACTTACTGGCGGTGGCATGGTTCTCATTTGCACCTGTTGTTGTTGCTGATGAGAGACATATCCAGGCAACGTAGTTTCTGGTCCGGCAGCCATTGGGGCCTGAGGCCCCGGTGGCATGGTTCTCATTTGCACCTGTTGTTGTTGCTGATGAGAGACATATCCAGGCAACGTAGTTTCTGGTCCGGCAGCCATTGGGGCCTGAGGCCCCGGTGCTGGGCCGGCTGAGGGAGCCTCAACCTTCGTCTCGGAGGCCATGTTTTATCTTGTTTTATCTTTCTCCCCGCACCGTTGTTCTGAAGCTGAAACCCGCATTTGCAGGGACAGTTGGCATAGAAACGCAAACTGAGCTGGTACCGGGTCTGGGCAACAGGGGTCAGAGTCCATTTTGCTCTGATCATATTGAAATAGGCCGGTGAAACGTTAACTTGACCGATTAATTATAAATGGCGTGACACTTCAATTATTAGTATATGTAGTTTGGGGATGTCAACAAAGTTAGAAGATGGAGTACTTCATCACAAAAGCGATTTTAGAGAAGTATTTAAATTCGCAGACATGCCAAACCTTTGAATGACACGAGGGACCTTTTAAAATCCTCAACAGATAAAGACAGCGTAAGGTCTTTAGTTTTAACCCTTAAAGGGCTGGGTTATTCAGTGACCACCTCTCAGCAGCCCCCCCCCCCCCCCCAGATCTCGGCCATCGAGTCACGAAAAATGTGAAACTCTCTACATGCATAGAACATGTCATCTTGAACATTCCCAAGAAATTTAATGACTAAAGGTTAAAGAGTTTTGGAATTATGGCTAATTAATTATTCATATGCACGGATGGTAATTCTGCTCTGTGTACACTATATGACGTATATGGGGAAATTCAGTTTTCACGGTGCGTAGCACCGTGAAAACTGATGCATGGGGAAATTCAGTTTTCACGTTCGCTGCGCGGCAACCCGTGGGCTGATTTTTATGTTTTTGGTATCAAAAGATGCGCAAGGCTCGAGGCTAAAATTAGAACAGTTCGGGTTGCGAAAAAAAATCAAGACTATTGCAGAAAAAGTTGAGGGGGACGGATTCCGCCCCGGGCCCCTTTAGGGTTAATACTGATATAAATTCGACTGATGAGAAAAACAGCACAAATCTTTTTCAATTTTTAATCACACCTTTAAAACCTATGCGGTGACTATTTCATAACTTTCCTGTTGGCTGTTGCAGCAATTAATTATCATAAAACATCACAGGAGATGTCGGACCGAGAAATTGCTTTATTGACTAGACATGCCACAATGAAGCCACCGTAGATTCAGCACTAGGCTCAGCATGGTCGTCACATTGTAAGGAGTACACAGGCTCGGGCTGGCGTCTCATTGAGGCTGCATTTTTATTAATATTCTTAAGCATTTTTCAAAATATTTTAACGTATATAAGCTTATTCCAAGAATTTACACTAATGTTTGAAACTTTCCACAATATCGAGCAATCTGTTTAAACTATATACTCTTGTTTGAAATAGATTACTCTTTTATATTTAAGACAATTTGGTAGTTATTTTGCACACACAACACGACTGTAGGAATTAAGGATTCCTCGTACTCTTCAAATTAAAACAAATATCAATCAACTCTCCTCAATGCATTTCAGAAATGAACTATTCCAGAGCGATAATAGTAATTAAGTACACACTTTGTTTTTCTACCATTAAAATTAACAACCGTGGTTAGTCCAACGTATACATCTGAAAACCATTTTGTTTAGGTCAGAATTTGAGGCTTTTGTATGTTAACATTGACAATAAATTCTTATTTTTTTAACATAAAATAACCGTTCTTAATATTAAAATCAGTGTGGAGTCGAGCATCCTCGATTACATTTTAACATAAACTTCCACACTTGCCTGATCAGTTTCATCTTGCCTATACTTCTACTCTCTTTCACTCTGTCTATACCTCAATTTGAAAATTTATATACAGGGTGAGTAAAAACAAGGAACCCAAATGTCAGGACCATATTTAAATGAAGTTCTGCATGTAGCACTTTCAAAATCTAGAATATGACAGCCCAATGAATAAGCTTTCTTTTAGTACAAGAATCCTTTAAATCACTCATGTACTTTTCAAGTTATGGAATATATTTTAAAATATGAAATATATTTTAAACACAAACTCCGTTTTAAACTTCTGTCCTCAGATAACAAAAAAGGCAAGTGTTCTTTCAGCAAATGAAAACAATTCACATAGGGATGAGTGTGAATTGTTTTCATTTTTGCTAAAAGAACACTTTTTCTGTGATCTGTCGGGAGAACTTTAAAACGGTGTAGATGTTCAAAATTCTGTAACTTGAAAAGTACATGAGTGATTTGAATGATGCTTGTACTACAAGAAAGCTTATTCAATAGGCTTCCAGATCCTAGATTTTGAAAGTGCTATACATGCAGAACTTCATTAAAGAATTGGTCCTACCATTTGGTTTACCGTCTCCGTATTTTTGACTCACCCTGAATGTTTATTTGTGGACAGTTAAGTACGCATCGGAACAAAAAGTATATACACATTATGTAATCTCTATGTAGTCAACTTTCAAGCAGATTTTAAATTATCAAATAAATGTCAACTTATAGATAAATCCATTTCTCTTTTACTGTAACTGGAGTTAACTGTTTATGTTCAGAATCCATATTATGTGCCACATATAAACAAATCATGATTTTCATAATTCTTGTCGGCACTGTAATATGAAGAATATTCACGCCAGGTCCTTTCTATGTTCTTATACTTCCGGGCGCTTCTATTAGAAACAAAAAAGGGGCGTTACACGAATTCAGGGAATAGGGAGAATTTTTTAAGGGAATAGAATTCCTTCTAACGACCAATCAGAAAAAGAAAGGCTACTATATATTTGAAACTCTTATACAAAAAAAAGGGAAAGAGAAATAAATCTCCGTATCGATCTCCTTGGGATGAAGGCATAACAACGCAATAACCCTGCCATCCCAAAGCAACGAAGAGAGTTCGGAGAGAGTGTTCGGAGAGAGTTCGGAGAGAGTGTTCGGAGAGAGTTCGGAGAGAGTGTATCAGCAAACTTCGCACACTAAAAAAAGTGCCCGCCGTTGATAAAAGTTCGAGTGAACGGAATAGGTTATTAAGTTAATTATTTTTTTCGACACAAACCCTGAGCACCATGAGGTTAGCATCATCTCGATTAACGTTCACTTTTAAGTATTTGTCTCTTCGCTCGTCTATAGTGTAGATTTTTTCCCCTAACAACTGCGAGCATACAGGCCTTTTGTGTCTTTCTGCGCCCCTGTTTTACGAAGAACTTATCTCTATATTCCAAAGAGTGGAACTTCACTCCATTCGAGTGGAGATTCACTCCCACAGTCGGAAACTGGGGACTAGACGCTTTAGAGTGAAATTCCTTCAATCGTAGAGATCGAGTTTTCACTCGAGCTTCGACTGAAGTGGTATTTTGTCAGACTAGTCCAATAAAAAATGAGAGTGATTTTCACTCTAAAACGTCTAGTCCCTAATTTCACTCTTTGGAATCTGGAGAGTTTAACCATTATTCAGCTAGACTTCAACATTGGTATACAAGGAATATTTTGTCATTGGTTCAAAATATTATAAGTTACAGAAGTTCCACGTAAAACAAAAAAACTTCAATTAATTTGTTGAATGTCGTCAACGCCGTCGTCGAGTCGCAAGGTCCTCCCTCCAGTCTAGTGACGATTGTTGTTCTTGGGCTGCTCGAAATACATGAAATCCTGAAGTAAAAAATGGAGAAAATGAAGAAGAAATATTACAAGTGGGCTATTATTCGTGTGAGGGCAACTTTCATATAAGATCACTAAAAGTAACCGACCATTTTGATGAAAAAACCTACTTTGACTAAAGGTCGTACTGGTTCTGAGAACCTCGTGAAATCATTCCGGCTGGTCAGTCAATTGAATGATATTTCTTTTTTAATAAAGAGTGTTATCGACAAAATCGTGTTTCGTAATTAAAATGTTGTGCATTGTTTTTTTCCTCGAATAGTGTAATATCCACTGCGAGCTGAAAACTCAACAGTTTTGATTCTGAACAGTCCTCTTTGGGTTTTGAGTGGTGTTATTATCGGAAACAAACAAACTACATGAAAAGCAAAATGATCTTCTACGTCTATGCCGCTGTTGGAAAATCACACTCACCACCAGGAAAACAGCTCCCAAAAGACAGGCTTTCATATCCACGTTCAAGTCCATGGGAACTGACAAATGGAAAAAAGGAATTTTTTTATTCAAAAGTGACCTTTGAAATGTAATCCCACTCCCACTAACATTACAAACTGTTGCACCTGACCAGAAACTCTTTTTATTTTACAGTTGCCAAATAAACTTTTCAAACCTCGAGTCAGATTTTTCTGAAACAGTAAGACATAAAAACAGCTGACAGCTTTAATCCGCTGGGTGCAAGTTTTAATGTTCATCGGCAAAATGTTGCCTTTGTCCCGTCAGTGGTGGAGTCGAGAATGACGTGATGCCACGATATTGCGTGTTGTCTTAGTGCCAGTGCGATGTGATAACTTTCCTCCAATGAACGCCATGCCGTTTACGCGTTCAGCGTGTGACGTAATCGTGAACCCAGTGGCGCAACCAGGATTTAGTTGGGGGCGCCTATTTTTTTTGGTCAAATTGTTTAGATGTTCACTTTTTTCAAATTTTTTTACCCAAGATTTTGGCCACAGACTTTTTTTGGGGGGGGGGGACCGGATTATTTTGACGTTGGTGGCGCCACTTACACTCCTATTATACTATTCGAAAATAGGCCACATACATATCACCAAAGTCAAAAAAAAAAAAAAAAATACCGACAAAATATCCAAATTCACAACCTCTTGGGGGGGGGGGGCTCAAGCCCCCGAGGCTCCCCCCCCCCCCCCCCATCAGGGGTCTTCACAAAATGTATCGAGGTATCCGGGCCATATGCGCGTCCATAAACCCGATTAAACTGGGCTTAGTCTTCAATTACAGTCGCATCCGACTATAGCTTTTTGAGGGTGTGATCTGCAATGCCTAGAGTGCACACCTATGTTCCCCAATACCTATGTTCCCCAACCCTAACCCTAACACTAACCCTAAGGGTTTGGGGCACATAGGCATTGGGGGAACATCGGGTAGACCCCATACTTACAGGTGATGGCGAAGTTGTCGGCCTTGGTGTATGCTTCCTTGAAGATTCCTCCCCACTGCTTACTCACTTTGCCCAACTCGGTGGTCAATTCCGGATCCATGATCTGAAAAAATATCACAAGACGCTTTACTTAATGCCCCTTGCTTAAAACACTTTCACTGACAAATGAGATGGTGGCTGAAAATGGAAATTTATTAAATCCTCAGAACTACTAGTATCACAACAACAAAATTGCGGTATCAAATTAAAGCGGACAACAAGACCTTTTGAGTAGTATGTCAGTGGGATGAAATGTAGTTAAGTGTGTTTTTTGGGGGTCAAACCCCTGATTTTTGGCTAAAATCGAGGATTTCAGGTCCGGTAGTCATTTTGGCATTTTTTTACCTTAAAATCAATGTCGTCGGTGCAGCAAACGTTTTGGCAGAACCAAAATGGTCCGCGTAGCTTCAGGACTGTCTCTTTTGCCACGTTCATGATCGTGAAGTTAGGATACCACCAACTCTGTCTGATATTAGAAAGAGGAATGTGCAATTATTGGATAGTGCTGAGATAAAAGAATCATAAACTTTGCTTGACACCAAATCATGAGTTAAAAATTTAAAGCACTACAATACGAACCAAAACCTTCAGAAAGCAAGAAACAAATTTCACCGAAAAGGTTATGTAAGACTAGGAAGTGCCACATTTGGCTTTAGGTTAAAGGTCATTCTGAATCTTTGCACTTGCTCTATGTGCCACCTGCGGGTATTGAGAAGACCACTCTGCTCTGTGAAACAATTAATACATATAGCTTACCATACAGTACCAAAGTAAGCATATAATATCAAACTAACTCAACCGTAACGTGCCCGGACTAATTTTATGGGGTTATGCCAATATTTGGAACTACGTACATTGACCCTCGTTTTAATCAATTAATAGTTCATCTATTATGTCGAAAAGTAGAGCTCTGTACATGAATATCTGAACAGAAAAAAACGAACAAGTTCTACTTGAAAACAACAGTAGATTTTGTTGTATACATAGCGATAGTTAAACACAATGAAAAACAAACATTTCACTTGGCCTTAAAATGCTTCAGGATAAACTTAATTAAGCTTGCTAGACTTATTTACGATTGTCTGACGTAGCCGATGACGTTGCCGACTGGTGCCTCTACTGCAATGTCTGCAGCCGCGCAGTCGGCATTGGCGCACCAGCAGCAGCCGCCACAGAACTTGAACTCACGGTTCAACCGAAGCACCTCCTGCAACCAAAATAAATGGACAACAGTGTGGTCAGCCATAATTACCTTTTCTAATTCCATTTCTCTAACACTGTAAAAAGTCACGGGTCAGATTGGCCCAAAATCGAGGTTCTAAATTTGACCTATTCAGCCATGTGGTTGCGATGGCGATTTCTATATACGTCAATTTATTATTGACCATACATAGTATCGGATTCCTGATCAAATCTGAATAGGGCGTTTTTGAGTGTTTTTGGTTTGTTTTGTCTGTGTTCTTTTTGTTCATCTATATGAAGTTAGCTCTTCAAAAGGTATGCACTCGATTCACACTCTTGAACCATCGATAGTGTTTGCCAAATGAAAAAAAATCAATAGTATAAATCACAGCAAAGGGGCAATATTGACGGAGACGTTTGTTTCATTTGACTTCCACCACCCTTATTAGATCAGAAAACAACATTATCAGCTTGTTGTTCCGTGATTAATCCCCATCCCAAAGTCTCAATTTGTGTGTGTATATATACATGTATGTAAAGTAATATTTGAGGCTTTGCATGGTGGAGATACTAAATAATGAAAGGTTTGAGGAAACACCATGTGCGAATAATTTCTCAACTAAGAGAATGGTTCTGAAAAGAACCAGAGGTATAAACTCGACGTTCCGGTCAGTATCCGGTCAGTATGCTCTGACCGTCTTCAGAAGAAACATGTATGTAAAGTTTCCGAGGGACCAATAACATACTACTGCATGGCAAATTATTGCGTTTAGGCACAGCTATTACCTGGTTCATATTGTCCGTAACGTGCATGAGAAATCCACGCTTGCCAGCACAGCACTGTCGCTCACAGCATCCAGATTCTGCAAATACCCGACACAAGAACCATTGAAATACGCCAGAAATTACAAACGTTGATTTCGCACACAGTAGTTAAAATAAACCAACTACCCTTTATAAAAAATGTACATCCAACGTTTTGCATTAAAGGATCCATGCAACGAATTGTTCTTAGGAACACATTTTGTGCAACTGTCTCTGAAATGCCCGAAAACTATTTGACATCCCTTTTTGGTTAATGTTACTGAAAAGTGTACTTCTTTAAACATTTAACATTATCCAGGCTTTTCTGGACAACTGAGGGTGCTCAGACGTGATATTGCAGGAAGACAATATTCAGTTCAGGGGATTTCTGTTTAAAATGTGAACCAAAATGTGCGTATTGACAACAAAATTCTCAAGGAGTGATATAGAAGAGCAACACTGTATCACGCTGTACTGTGCAAAGGTACACGACGAGCACAGTGTTTATCTAACCTTTGTATTTGCTTAATTCAGTATTCAATACAAAAATTTCCATGCCAAACACCACAGGTGGAGTTCTGTTTGACGTCAGTAAATTAATCATTTACGGCCTTATCAGGGATAACAAAGCAGAAATATACCACAACAATGCTTAACAAGTGCTTTTTTGGGCGTGATAACAGCAACGTATCTAGTTTCAGTTTAGGGGTTGCCTATTTTTCTTTTCCGCTGGTACCACCGCCCTATCCATGGCCAAGGGCGATGGTGACCTTTTTATATTTTGGAGGTCTTATCATTATGGAGAGATTTTGAATAATGTAATCGGTGATCCAGAGAGGTAAACACGATGCCCGTGTGATTGAATGTACGCCATAAATAACGCGCCAGTATTCAAGCTATTTGTGAATTCGTTTTGTTTACAGCAATTTGAGAAACAAATCAGCCGTCGCAGTGTGTTACAACTGCTAATGTTGTAACCAACAAATAGCGTATCACCAACCGCTAATGTCACAAAAATTGACCGATATTGTATCACTAACCGACAATGTAACAAAAACTGACCTAAATATTACTGCACTATCAGTCAATTGTTGTTAAATTATCGGTCATAACCAATATTGTTAACAGAAATTGACCGACAGTGTAGTAACATTTACTACACTTTCTGTATATTTTTGTTACATTATCGGTTGGTGATACAATATCGGTACATTGTTGAGACATGATCGCTTGGTGATCCGTATATCCGTTGGTTACTACATTATCAGTTGTTGCACAGGGGCCAGTGGATATGGGTTGGATCACCTGTGGCTTCAGAACCACTTAAGCTTTCCGGGTAGGTAGAGGGGACCGTGAGCTTTAGTTGGCCTCACGTTTTAAAATTCAAGAGGGGCGACCCCTTTGACCTTAGGAGCGAATCGTGAAGGAAAGGGGGTCAGTAGAAAGCAACATCCATTACAAAACACTCAGTCGTATTCACTCCATCTCTAGTACAATGTCTCCCTCTCTGGTATTAAAATGTAAATAATGTCTCCATTTTTTAAGGACACACGACACCCATGTTCCCCGGCTCCACAAGTGGGTCTGGAAATTTCCGATTTAGGCTTTATGGACTACAGTTCCAAACGAAGCCCAGGTGGTGGTGGGGGGGGGGGGGGGGGTTAAATATGAAAAAATCAGTGTGGGGGTCTACTTTGCAAAAAACTATACATGTTCTGCAATTTCCAAACTGAACCGGACCAACCGGTATTTTGTGTCAAATGAGACGCATATTTTTTAAATCATTGTTTATTGGGTGTAAATCAGTACCTTCATGAGCGAAGTAGATCTGCTGACCAACACTGTTCTTCACCTGGTATCGATTCTCGGTCTCATAATCGGTCAACACTGCAAGAAAACATCCAGTTTTACTTGTAACTAAGAAGAAATATGTCTGTTCTTATCGCTTTAGTAGCTGACCCAGGAAAGGCCAGACGCGGATGCGTTGGACGCACTGAAGAAAGCATCTCTTCAATGCAAAACAAGTTTAGTTATACCACGGCTCAACACAAATGCCTTACCATATTGTTACTTCTAAAATACAAAAACATGAAAGTGTGAAACCTGTTTTACAAAGTTCAGTATGGGTGCTGCAAACGCAATATTTGGAGTTGCAAAATAACATAAATTGTTCTTTATACTATTTTACTCCGCGGTTCTTTCATGACCAACGTATTTCTTTGTAGGAGAGAGGGGGCTTACTGATAGTGGACAATGACACAATAAAACTGAGTCAAATGGCATTCCTGAAATGTTTCATTAGAATGTGACTGATTTTGGCAATGGCTTTTAGAAATAGGGGAGGCACCCATCCAACTTTGAAGTCCTTTTGTTCATTAAGTAATGCAGCTTCTAAAATTACATTCCGAAAGAGCATCCACACATTCTTTGGTTACTCACTTTCAAAGAGCTCCACCTGTTGGTGGACCAATAGCTGATCGATCTGGGTCAGGTACTCCAGGCCAGGTGGACAGCCGGGCATCGCTTGTGGGTGCGGCATCCACTGTATCTGCCCAGGCTGCGCACTCACCCCAGGTTGCTGACCGGCATACTTTACAGAAAAAAAAGAAATATAGTGACCGCATATATTGGGATCCCCCGCAGTGCAACCCAAATGCATATATGGGTGGTTTTGTTTTGCAGAGATGAAATAATTATCGAGAAGAAAAAGTTGTCTGTCAAAAAGGATATTCACATAAAGGCTCTACCGATCTAGATTAAAGGATTAATTACGTCCTGGATGGAATGCACGAAATTGGGCTGCAAAACTCGTTTTAAACGAAATGATTTTAAACGGTATTTCGAGGGGTCAACATTTTGACTCCAAAAAATCGAGTTGAGTGCTATAGTTGTGAATCCTGCCGCACACATACTGAAATGTGTATCCTTGTGGAGTCATTTCTTTGTTCTCGTGTACTAAAGTTTTCGAGTTTGAAAGTGTTCTTTCAAAATGCTCCTATTTTAACTAGAATGAATTTCCTGGGCTGAAATTCGGACTTAATACCCCTTACATAAAATACTTCAATTTGCGAACGATCCATGCACACCTTGGAAATTCCCTTCTTTTTGAGTAAAATCCACATATCTATTTCGTGATAACCTTGTGGGGACGTACTTATAGAAATTGCTCTGTGGAGACAATACAATCTGTGTTCCCTGTTGTGCACATGTCTCCAGAGGGTACCGTGTACCAGATCACATGTTTACGTTAAGTAGTGTTAACATTCCTTTGTTTTCGCGTAGTTACGGAAAACCTGTGTACAAAACTCATTTTACTCACACTATGGAAACTCTTTCAACCCAATTTGTTTTCTATGATTGTCTTTAGTGTTTCTCTTCATTATTCCCACTGATAAACCTAACCCCAAAATGCCTCTAAACCTGTTTTCCAGAGAGGGGAGCACAGTGTGGACGTGGGAACGTGGGCACAACGTCGCTGCTACCTAGTTTATGTGGACCTATCTTTTTCGGAAGTCCACACAAAAGTGAATGTAATGCTTGTACACCCATACTCATGTTTACATTACATACCCTATGTGGACATTCCTTTGTTTTCGCACAGTTAAGGAAAACAGGAGGAAAAAAATATTTTACCCACACTGTGAAAACTTTCTCAACCCAAATAGTTTGTCCTGATTTCCTTGAGTGTTGCTCTTCATTTTACGACTGATGACCCTGTTTTTTGGGTGATCTAAACCTGTTTTCCAGACGGAGGGCGAAACCTTATGTGGACCTGGCTTAGTCCACATAACGTTCACACAGCCTGCATTATTTTTGACCTATTTTGTTGTCAGGTCCAGATGGTAAGGTTGGTACACGCACAACGTGTATCATACATTGAAGGGACACGGCTGGAAACACGTATGCATATGCCACGAAATGTCCACAGCGTCTGATGTAAAGAAGCGGTTTTTCCGTCTTTAAGTTTCTCGGGAACGGTAAGACATTAGAGGTTAGTATCCTTTTAACTAGACCTTTTTTGGATTCTAGATGCTCTGTGGTGCGATCTGAGGCAATTTCTGACCACTTTAACCAATGTTTTTTTGAGGAAAAGATGGTGGTGTACTCATTGCCTGCCTTTATTGCGATGTCACATAAAAAAAAAAAATTGGTTTCGTTTTGGGGGGGGGGGGGGGCCATGGCCCCCTTTGGCCCCCCCCCCTGGATCCGCCCTTGAGCCAACTAACCCATCAACAGCTTAGGCTAATGTCTGCTCGAAATGACGATTTCTGCTCTAAAGTCGCGGGGTCACATACAATTTGCATGCACATACATGTATTATATCAGACGTTGTTGCGGAGCTTGCGGGCTCCGTCGAACAACGGATGATACTCAGTCTACTAAGAGGCAGCAGGATATCCTTAAAATACCAACTTACACTGCAATTGGCCCGTGCCCACTTTTCTAGAGACCAACATGAACCCGTTAAATGTTAAAAGGCAGAGGCGGACTGTTGCGCTTCGACTGTTTACATAATAGGCACAGTGCATAATGACATGTTTTCCCCATAATTTTTCCATTCGATAATGGCGATGAAGTAGCTTCATAAACAGTTTCATAACCCGACTTACCCCGGGTTGCATGGCCCCCATCTGGACCTGAGGTTGCTGTGGCGAGACGTAGCCTTGCGGGGCCCCGGCTGCCATCGGTGGCGGGGCGCCCGGAGCGGGGCCGGTCGGTGGAACACCGTACTTCTCGGAAGCCATAATTTTACTAGTTTAGTGATGCCAACGTTCTATCAGGCGACAATAATGTTCACTTGGGCCGGGAACAGGTTAGCGCACGTATTGCTCTGCGTGGAGTACAAAAGGGGTCAGAGTCCAAGTTCAACTGCGACAACACGCCTATATATAGACTGGTCCCCGTTTATTGCATATTTACTATAAATGTTCGGCAGATTGACTTTCTTCCAGTCTGCCCGTTTAAAGCACCAATCTTGAACAAGTTGGCGACCACACACACGAACGAACGAACTACAAATATTCTGCTGTTTGTTATGTAATATTGCAGTAGACGGTTGGAAACTGTCAATTATTTCTTCATTTTTTTATTTTAAACCTTAACATAGACATAAACAAAAAATATATTTATACATAAAAATGAAGGTTTTAATGTTCAGGGACTGTCAATTGTATATAAAATTAAGAAACATTGACTTGATGAGACAAAACAGAACTAGACCAAATAAAAAGACGAACCAAAACCGAAAATACGAGACATGAATGAAGCCATGTCTGAATGTGTAACTGTACAGTAGAGAGGCAAATTGTATGTGGAACTGACAAAGCGTGTTTCCTTCATTAACTGTTGTTGCAGTAGTTAACCCAGATTTTGCTTTAACTTGACTCTAAAGAGACGACTCATAACAGTCCGGGCCGCGAATCTTTTTTTCCCCAACGACATCCGTTTCCCATCTTTTGATTGGTCCATTCCATGCATATTTAATGCATTATTCCCCACAACATAAATCCAAGATGTTGCTTCCTCACTTTAGCTATTTAAAAGTTTAAATGAGAAGAAGTGAAAAACGCTCACTGAGATTTGAACTCGAATCACCTGATTAGAAGTCAGGACTACTTCCAACCAGTCCACGAATCAGCTGCCAATTGCTGGTGATTTATACACATTATTCCGTGTTATATATAGCTTATTCTCTAAAGCCACGGACATCATGAATATGCATAATGCAGAGCGAGAGAGAGAGAGAGCGCCCTCTTTTGATATTGTCCGATCTCGTGAAAACTTCGCTTCCGGGTCAGAAATGATACAGGGCTGCCGCGTTTCCAAAGCCTCGTCAAGCTTGCCGTGCACATCAAGTGGTTTCGAAAAATGCAATTAACTATACGTGTAGTTGAAATTGGTTTCGATATTAACAATGCATCGAAGTACTTATACTAATTAATGGTAGACTGTATGATGTGCAGTACAACGGCAATGCGAAACCCGGAAGCCCGATTCAGCAAAAGAAGAAGGGAATAATACCTGGAACAGCACCATTCACTGAAGGTATTCGGTTATTATTATGTTAAACGTATAACATAAGTACAGATTCTATACCGCCATGGATGAATAAAACATTTTCCTCGGCCGTGACGTAAGGGGTTTAGTATACAGTTCAAAGAGGCACAGTTTATTGTATATCTACTGTTGTTTTGACGAGCAGGGGAGTTGCCAGAAGGATGTGGGGTTGTATATACCCCCCCCCCCTTCCACCACCACTCCACCCCATCCCACCGCCACCACCGCCATTTGTCGTTCTTGTTTGCAATATTGTAATTCATGTCGCCCAAATCATTGAAGTGTTGGATAAAGAGGCTCCACGTTGTGCCGGTGGTACGGGTTATGTGTCATTTAATCGGTATATTGGTTGGGATGCTTGTAAAAGGTCATCATTCTTGTCGGCAGAATCGCGTAACCAAAAATGAGGTCGCCAAAAACAGAATCGCAATTGAGGTGGATCACCAACAGCGCCATCTAGTGGCAGGTGAAAACTTCTCCCATCCACCCTGACGTGCAGCCCTTGGCGTCTAGTCTTACCATGTCATGAGACTTCCTTTCCCTATTAATGGGGAAGTGGTTGACATAATTTGACTTGTTAAACACGAAAAAAACCAAGCTATTTGATGGCCATATTTGCTCCTGTTTTCCCACAAATGTTACTAATGTTAGATTGGACATCATGATGACAATCGTTGAAAATGAGTGTATTTTTTGGGTTTCTTTTCTTAGTTCATTGTGAAAGTTTTCATGCATGGATTTAAAACCATATGCTGTGGACAAGGAGGGGGTCTGTTGTCTCCCAATATCTCGAACGAGACATATTATGTGGCGGCCGCCACATAATAAGTGGCGGCCGCTGTACAAAACATATTTTCACACGTACAAACAAATATATTCAGACTTATTTTTTTTGTTAGTGCGCAGGCGTAAGGTACGTCACAAATTAACCACTAGTCGACTAATGGTCCTTGCCCAAACTTGGCCATAGTCTCTGACTCATCCAACTTTGAAGTCTTTTTGTTCATTAAGTAACGCAGCTTCTAAAATCACATTCCAAAAGAGCATTCGCACATTCTTTGGTTACTCACTTTCGAAGAGTTCCATCTGCATTGATTACTGAACTAGTACATTGTATATAATTGTGCCTCTCTCTAGCAAGGGTTAATCTCACTCAGACGTAAGTGTCATTTTCACCTTAGATTCTCATTGTTTATGTACCGTATCCGCTGAAATATATCATTTTGTTAAAAAAAATATTTGAACACCGTGTACATAGCACATGTGGGCTATGTCTGTACTTCAACTTTAATCAAAATCTGTCCTTTTCGATTTCATTTATTCGTTGTATTATCCAGTAAGTGTGAAAAATGTCACCCAAATGTCTCTCGTGACTCTCTTTCGTAGTGTATTGATGGTTGTTGCATGATCTTGGAACAATTGCAAAATACTCTGTGCTGCCAGGCTGGTCAATAGTCTGCTCCCTGACATATTGGCAATATGTAAGGAAGCAGATTAACTAATTAAATAGCGTTTACAGGTTTACAACACCGTCTGCAAATGGTGCCCGACTATTCTGTGCAAAATATGTGGCAGCCCAGAAAAACTACATAAAGCTATATACTCGATCGTAACCACATCTCAAAACACGTTAGAATTGTGCAGCAGCAGGATTCCAGTCGAACCAGTGAGTTTGGCGGTTTTGAGTAATCATCTTACAATGAAAAAAAAAATAGTTTTGTCGACGCGCATGGTTACGGCGACGCGCGCGCATACCAGAAACCGGAGGCTTTTTTGGCCTTAGCTTCGATGTAGGATTATTAAAGATTAAGTATCATTTCCAACTATACCCATGTGCGCGCTACTCATTTTTTGACAGATAGGCCTAAGCCTTACGCGAGAACCTTCCGGATTATATTTTCATTCCTAAACTGTGAATCATCAATAGCCTTAGTATTAAACACGTTGATATTGACCGACTGATATTTAGCATTCCATTTTGAATGAGTTTGTAAAACTAGTCGTTATTGCTGTATGAATAATAACTCCATTAATGGAAAGGTTTTGGCATCCCGAATGATAAATTACACTTCGTAAAGGAATTTTCCCAAATACCCCATATTGCCAATATAACGACTATATATAGCGACTATATCATTGCTTTTATTAGAACTTCCCCGTTCCCTTTTCCGTCTTCTTTTAAAAACTTGTCATTTCTGTTTGGGTCTTTGACTGGGGTTGATTGTAAAGCAATGAGTCGAATGCTTCCGTGCAAAATGACAAACTGTTTAATTTGTTACTAACGTTCTCGATGTGAACCTTCTGCTCCTTACTTTGAAGTTTTGGTAGTTTTATCTTTATATTAGGCTGCCTTTGCCATACATATTTGAATTAGTCAGTGATATTATGCATCCCACACTTCCGACGGGATGGATGGAAATGACACTCATAAAAATTTAAATCAATGGAAATTTATCCGAGTGCTCTCGCACGTACTTAATCCCTACCATCGGTGGACAGAACCGGTGGAGAGACCGTGGCTCGTGGTTGATACCTTAAGCCTGGCTTGCAGTGTTCAACTGTCTCTCTTCGTGCTATTTTCAAAGTTTTCAGTTTTTAAATTGATAATTTTCAAACAAACAAATGTTATTGACTTTTAAAGGAGATATCTTAAAAAAAGCCCACGTTTAGTTATGGAATATTTACTGTACACATTTCGAATATTGTTGCGGCCCGACAATATTTCAGGCGTATGTTTTTGTGCGTAATGAGGGCAAAAACAACCAAAAGCAACAGCTTGTTTTCAGAGCGTTGAAAATGTAAAAACAAAAGTGCGTAGCTTTTCCCATTTCAATAAATCGTACAAATTGAAAAATAATCAGGAGACAAAAGTCGATACTAAGGCAATGATCGTGACCACAACTTGAACCAATATATTAGGTGACCATCAACTAGACAGGATACAACAAAGCCAAAACTTTGGTCTCCAAAAAAAGTGGGTTCACAAATTCACGGCCTACATGGAGTTCGGGGCCCGCTTAAGCCAACCCCCCCCCCCCCAAAGTATGGATTCTAGATCCTCTGTTGTGCGATATGAGGCAATTGCTGACCCCATGAACCATTTGTTTTTTTAGTAATAGACGGCGGTGTACGTAGTGGCTGCCTTTTTTTGTGACGTAACTGAAAAAATCGGATGCTTTTTTTTTTGGGGGGGGGGGGGGAGGCATGTCCCCGTTGCCACCCGCCTTTGGGCCTTCGGCACACCGCACACCCTCCGCCCCCGGTAGTAACCTCTCTGGGTCCGCCCATGAATTTGACTAGTAATGAATAGAGATACCGGGTTTTTTTAATCGTGAGAGGGGCACTGTTGCTTTTGATGGCCAGCTCGGTGACCATTTTATTCGCGTGAGGAGCAGCACTTTTATTTTTAAGGCCACTTTTCCCTGAGAGGGGCATAATTTTAATGTTAAGAGCGGGTACTAATAAAATTGTGCTTTAAAGGGCAGTTTTATATACATCTCGAGAAGTTATCGCAAAAGGAGCACTATTGTTTTTATGGCCAATTTTCCATCTCGAGAAGGGCACAATTTTATAATTGCGAGAGGGGCATTTGTGCTTTCGAGGGGTAGTTTTCCATCTCAAAAAGGTGCACAATCTTATTAATGCGATAGGGGCACTTGTGTTTTTGAGGGGCAGTTTTGCATTCAAAAGAGGAGTCAATTTTATTTCAAGCGATCGTATGTTTTTATGTGTGAG